AAAATCGAGATTTCTGTATAAAATTCAACGTTGTACTGACTGGTGCCGGGTAAGCGTAAAACTTATTGTTTTACCACCCATGTTACTTAGAAACAAATATTCGATTTTACTGATAAAAAACGCTTTTAAAAGTATGGTAATTATTTCCTTCCCTCTTTGTTACAGTAGGTGTGTATGTGTGGGATAATTTTGCAGTATTATATAACGTATAGGTACTATTTATATTGAAATATAAAAAATGTCGTACGTTCCGTTCTACGATAACATATGGCATCCACAATAAATACATTATTTAGTTCCAAACATTTTAATTTTTATTCGACGATTTTATTCTCAATTTTCGCCGCTCAGTTCAAAAGAACACAAACAAACCGTGACAGACGAACAGACGAAGTTATTTGTAATGGGTGTCGCAATTAATCAGTATAAACGTTTTATTAGCCGGGATCGCGCAGGCGCGGTTCCGCCAAATACGTCGTGGCTGACAGCCGTGTGGCAGCGGGAAACAAACAAACAAAATGGCCTCCCTCTCGTTTTGGCGGGAAACGATTTTAAATAGCTACAGCTTAGCCTGAGAGATGTGCTTTGATGGCGACAACGCGACAAGATGACTCCAATGTAATATACTGAACTCGCTTCATATAATTTATAGATGGACAAGCACAACAACGATATAATGTAAGAATCCGGCTCGAAGGACCACACGATGTATACAATTTATTAGGGACAGACTCTGTACAAAAGTCATCCGTATGGGATTTCTATCCCGGCCTCGAAACAACTGTCTAACATGGCTGTGCTTTAGTTTGAAAAAATATGCAATGAGATTAAAGGGCGTCACAGTATATACTGTATTGTCCATGGCGCTAATCATGTTTAGAGGCAACTGTAACTGTTTTCCATTAAGTGAGCCATTAATTTGTTTAGATACCATTCCGAATCATTTTATAATAATCTTCAGATTTCAGGCATTTTTTGTTGATTACCTCATAGTTTATTAATTAAGATTTATTAATCAATTTATAACTTATTACAATTTATTAACATATATTGTAACATTACAAGTAGACAAATATGAATGATAAGAACATTTTGAATCTCAAATTTTCATTAACAATCAAAGCTCAGTGTGACACAAGTTTATTAACCAAAATACTTCCTCTTTAACTTTCTAATTACGACGAGTTGCCATGTGTGTGTGTGTGTGCGTGTCTGTGCGTAAGCGCGATTGTCCCCGCGTACTACGCCGCCCATTTTTCATGGCACGCGTGAACGCTTGGCCGCGACTCGGATTTAGCTGCGCCGGCGCACCGCGTTTCAGCTAATTGCTTTTTTCTGTACCCGCGTTTACGCGGCACGGCTGAAACAAATATCCGTAGTGTGTACAGTAACGCTTGTCAAATTTTAGTAACGGTTTGGTACTATTATTATACATATACTGTGGGTTTGAATATGGCGCGTAACGTAATGATAATGTATACCTAAACATTGACTACTGAACTATTGAAGGACAATGTTATAATAAATCGTAGACAGGTAAATTGGTATTGGTATAGTAACCCCGCCTGCGCTGTCGGTATACGCTGGCGGGGCACCAGTGAAGGATGATAGGTGACAATGGAAGTCAGTTAGCCAATCGTGACGAATTCCACTAGAATGAACCACGATGGTTTCGACCTCCGCATGGAGGTCGACCTGACAGGGTGTATTGCTAGCAATAAATCAGTTAGACCCCATTACCAACAATCTCTTTCCCCCCAATTCGTGACAGTTACCGAGCGAGATATAAATATATACATAGCGTAGATAGCTATCTCTTTTAATCTTTATTACCTATTGTCCACATAGAAACATCTATAATTATGAAAGAATCCATCATCTGATTTCTGCTTTCATCCTCATTTATCACCACTTAAAACCAATAGCGTAAGCGGGGCTACCGTTTCATTTTTATGTATTGCAAAAAAAGACTGTCCGATATAAAAGTATGATGGTAATTCAGCAGCCCTGTTCGTCCTGGAGAATCCATTGGATGAAAAAAATAATAACATTGTTAAATTTATAATAATTACTAACTGAATAAAGTGTCATTTCTATAGAAATATCGCATTCAAGTTTACGTTGTAATAAGTATGGGTCAAGTTCTAAATTTTCGAAACCATCCGCTAGAGGCGCTGTTATGTTTCCAATGAAAATTAATAATATACGAGTACATAAATGCCTACGTTTCATACCCAGACATTTGTAAAACTACAGATTAAGAATAGTACCTGCTCTTTCTACGAGTACGTCTCATACTAGGTACTTTGAATCTTGAAGACACGTCGCGTGGGAGCTCCGCTGACGGCTCGGTAATCTGGCATGCGTGAAATTAAACTGGCATTGTCGCCGAGCGCCCCGCGCCCGTCAACTCAATATGCCAGAACTCGAGGCCAAAAGTATGATTTGTAGTTACGAGACAATGTCCCCATCGGTATCTTCTTGCCGTGTCACCAGTTATGTTGGCCTTTTAATTGAAACTTGAACGAGTTTAACCATGGCAATATAAAAAAAAACCTCAGATAGACCTTCAATAGCAAAACTAAAATAGCAAAAAAGTTGTCGCAATAATAGCAAAAAAAACATTGGAAATATTATTATTTATACTATACCACAATATTGCCTGATTTACGTTCTTTGATGGAGGATAATGGAATGGTAACCCTGCTCGCACAATCGATACACGCTGGTGGGGCACCAGTGAAGGCTGATGATAGGTGAGGATGAAAATAGGTTAGTTAGCGTCCAGGAGGAACCATGTGAAGGTCGACCTGATGAGGCATTTTGCTAGTAATGGAGTTATTAAGTTATTTTTCCTCTATTCAAAAATACACCGCCTACGTATTTCTCGATTTGCCCAATAGCTGACTGGTAGAGAACACCGTCCGGTGTTAAGTCCGTCAAATGTACATAGGATTATACTGTGCATTAAAGTTTAAATAAGCAAATAAATAAATAAGATACCATAACGTAGTCTAAAACATAACAGATAACATAACAGATTTTGTCCTGCAAAAAATACACTGACATCTATCGTTGCAAAACTTAGTTACCTACTTTGATTAACCAAACTATTGAATCCATTTCGATAAAATATCTATAGGACAAAACAGATAAGAAAATAATTTCTTTAAACCACGGAGGTAGCAAACAAACATGTATGTTTGTTTGCTACCCGGGCTGTAGCCCGTCTGATGATAAATGGTCACTGCAACCTATGGACCCCTGCAACACTAGGACTGTTACGTATGCGATGCAGACTTAAGAACTTTCCAAATTGGTTTATAAATGAAGGAGTTCTGAGGTAACAAATATAAAAAAAAGATACAACCAAATTGAAAAAATCGGTTGAAAATTCAAATTACGTACATTCACCAGAGGGAGACTTTGTACAAAAGTCGATTGCTTGGGTACGTCTGTCCCATTCGTGTTTCAACCGTAAAGCAGCTATGTTTGCATGGCTGTGTTTCGGTTTGAAGGGTGGGATATGGCGTGAAATTACTGGGTACAGAGGAATAACACCTGAGTCCTCAGGAATGGCTACACATGGGGGGTATCATGGGCGAAACAGTATACTCTGTTAAGTTCATGGTACTGCTCATGTCTATAGGCGACGGTTACACTTTCCATCAGGTGGGCCGTCAGCTTGTATGCCATTCTAAGTTGTATAAAAAAAAAAATCTGTATGAATCAAACAGCGTAAGTAGCCTCTTGACTTTATTTTATAATTGAGTAATAAGTACTAGTCGCAACGAAACTGATGTTGAGGAAGATATTTCGCTACTCTCTACTACTACGTACGTATGGGGAAAGGTATGTTAGTAATAGGGGTTAATAGCCCCATTGTCAATAGGTAAATTAATAAGGGTTCGCTTTTCGTTTACTTTGGATAATGAAGTCACAACGTCAATTAGTGATTTTTGCATTAGTATCATATTTAAGAATATTCATAATAAATGAAAGAAAGTGAGAATCTCGGTGCGAATGTGTTAGCGTTTACGTTATTTCATATTATTAACTTAACAGCGCCTCTACCAAATGATTTTGGAACTTTACATTTATTTAAAAATCAATGTAAATGTAACAATAACGAACCTTTATAAAACTCTAGGGTTAAGTAGCTAACCATTTTTTTTTTTTTATACTACTTAGAATGGCATACAAGCTGACGGCCCACCTGATGGAAAGTGGTAACCGTCGCCTATAGACATGAGCAGTACCATGGACATAATAGAGTATACTGTTTCGCCCATGATACCCCCAATGCGTTGCCATTCCTGAGGACTCAGGTGTTATTCCTCTGTACCCAGTAAATTCACGCCATATCCAACCCTTCAAACCGAAACACAGTTATGCAAACACAACTGCTTCACGGTTGAAACACGAATGGGACAGAGGTACCCAAGCAATCGACTTTTGTACAAAGTCTGTCCATTTTCTTAGCTAGTAAAAAATTTCAACTAAGAAGGTATATTATGAAATATTATTGATTTGGTAATTTCGTTGCTAATCTCATACGATTTGAATTTCTAATAATAATAAATATCTCTTATCAAATATTACTTTGTCTAGAGGGTGAATTACATAAATAATATTTGATTACTAAAAACTACAAATTAAATAATTTATATCGTTCATTGTGTTTTAATTTAATAATAATTTTCATAGAAGTAAACTCACGTTTTTAGCTATGATCTAACAATGACATCTAGTATTGAATAGTAAAAGAAAGTGTCTTGCTTTGTCAGTAGATGGCACACTTTATAAAACTGATATAGGTTACTGTTCCTTGATGTACCTCTGTTAATAAAATAATAAAAAACTAAAAATAAACATAGTAATAATGAAATTAAATTTATATAAGGGAATTTACATTCTAATAGAAAAAGAAATAATAATAATGTTTTTGTTAAACACAATTGGTCAAAACGAATCGCAACTTGACATATCATCTTATCTGTGGAAAAAAGAAAAAAAAAGTGCAAAAGCAAGCAAACCAAAGTACTGATGAGAGATTATTGATATTTTTCATAAATTTACTTTCGTTATGGGGACAGAAATAGCTATATCATTTAGTACTTTACGTGCTCAATTAGAAAATGAGAAGAGTAGTTTATATAAAATAGACGAAAACATCAAGCGAATACAAATAACCGGACGTTTCCCAAATGATAGGTTAGTGATTTTAGCTTGATAAACTAATGTATTTTCGAAGTGCTGTTCTCAACGATTGTGTTTATTTACAGATTTAATAACTCTTCGGGAGATTACGCAAGAAGTGGGCCCCGCCAGGTCGGTAGGAATTCCTTTCCAGATACCGGCAATAATTATAAAAATGATGATCAATTCAACAAAAGAAAACATGAAACCAAGACCGTTTTTAGCAGGTATTACTTTGAAACTACTCTATGCTCTCAAATGATTTATTTTATTAAACTCTTGTAATGACTAAAAACAAAAAAATATTACTCTGATGACCACTTTGTGTATGTTCTTTATATGTTCAGATTATCAGCCCGCGTTCATGATAGTGACGGAGAGGATGATGGACCAGGCATTAAGAGAGTACGAGTTCCATCAGCAGTTTGTCGGGAGCTGCCCACTAGGGCTGCAGTGTTACGGGCCCAAGGTGATGATGAGCAAGCGAGGACACGCAACAGACGCATCTTTGGTTCACTATTAGGGACTCTACAAAAGTTTAAACAAGAGGAAATTGTATTACAAACTAAGGTGGCTTACATGAAATATTTATATTTAATATAAAACAGGTTTATATGTAAAAATATTTATATAAACACATCACTGTTGTGCAATGACGATCTATGTTTATTTGTTTTTTTATGATTGGTGTAATAGCAAATTATAGAAAGTACAGAGCTCCATCTAGGCTCGAATTGAGCAGACCATCTGTAGGTAGTAGATAAATAATAATTTTTTTTTGTAAACATAATATGGAAAACAATTATATACATTTATATAATTAGGACTAAAATGAATTCCTATCACTCCAAGCCTTTTTTTTTTATTCCACCAGCTCCATGCTAAAATTGTGTTTTTTAACTTTTAGGGGTTTTTCGTATTTTGTAAATAAAATTTATTTTTTCTTATATGATAAACTTTATTTTATGAGTAATTACAGGATACTATATTATAATTCTTAATCAATGATCTTTCTTGAATGAGATTTCTTTTTTTTTATCTTTATAATCCCTTTTGGTATGGTACAAAATCAATGTCGTGTGACACTCGACATTTGAGTAGAAAGGGTTAATAGTAATACAGTAAATATGCTTAAATTCTTTTATTTTTTAATTACAGGAAGATAAGAAAGCTCAAGTGGAGCGTAAAATCGAAGAACAGGCTCGGTTAGAAAAAGAAAGGGAACAAAAGGAAAGAAAAACTCTTTACGCAGAGAGGGAACATAAGAAGGCCACTATCAAATCATTAGAGGCCAAAATGGCGCGTGTTCAGGAATTTGAGAAGTGGGAGGCCACACAGAAGAAACTTGGCAACTTTATACTGACTAAGGCCAAGCCCCATGTGTACTGGTTGCCTAAAAAGATGACAGATAAGGCCATGGAGAAGTTGAATTCAAGTAGAAAATTCCATGAAAGTAAGTATAATAGTAAGGTAAACCATAAAGTAATATCCTCATTTAACATGGAAAATTCATACATTAATTTAGTCTTGTCCATGACTTTGTATAGAACTGGGTTTTTGCATTGAGTAACTTATTGCTCAGCCCAGTTTGATTGATGAGAAATAACTGAATGCCCAGATAACCATTCTAACTAAACAATAATGTCACTAATGTTGTAGAATTCAAAAGCTTCCTGGCTGGTAAGTACCCAATCACTTATTAGCCGGGGGGGGAGGGATTGTTAGTACTGGAGATTAAGGGCCCTATTGCTAGCAATATCACCCTAGCAGTAGTGACCCTACCAGGTCGATCTCTCCGTGGTCCCCCCTAGAAACCATTGTGCTGAATTCCAAGTGTATTCATCACGATGAGCTTACTGACCTGCCTTTATCATTCTCATCTATCATCCCTCACTGGTGTTCCACCAGCATATACTGTTAGTGCGAGCGGGGTTACCATTCCATTATCAACCATTAAAAAAAAAACACTAGCCAGATTTTGTTTGTATTACTCCTTGCTTAAAAAATAGTCTTATTATAAAGTGATTGAATTGAAATAAGATTTTTTGTTTATGCAACTTAGAATGGCAGACAAGCTGACGGAAAGTGGTAACTGTCGCCTATAGACATGAGCAGTACCATGAACATAACAGAGTATACTGTTTCGCCCATGATACCTCCCAAGTGTTGCCATTCCTGAGGACTCAGGTGTTATTCCTCTGTACCCAGTAAATTCACGCCATATCCCACCCTTCAAACCGAAACACAGCCATGCAAACACAACTGCTTCACGGTAGAAACACGAATGGGATAGAGGTACCCAAGCAATCAATCCTACTGTTATCAATAATAAAGTTACTAAACCTGTAATAAAAAAAATAAATCAATTTTATCATTACTACTTACAGCTAAAAATGGTCCCTTATATCGCAGTGAGTAAAATTAATTGATTAATAAATATTACCTAATAAAGTTTATCATTAAAAATAGAGAAATATTGATATTTACAAAATATATAATAATAATATAATAATATTTCTTTATTTATAGATTACAAAGATCCATTCTTCTTAGTAACAATTGACTTAAACTATGTTAGTAGAAAAAAAAAAATACAAAATTTATTTTATGGCCCCTATAATAATTTTTACCCACAATGAGAGGATCGGGCTATCGTATTTATTACACAATGCCCTCAGAATGCTGTCACTGCTGCCACGCAATCAGTATGAAAGAGATGCGATCCGTTTGCGTTTGATGGCATAGAAGTCATCTGTCCATGCCGCTGCAAACATTGTGGATGCACTACAGAAACGTGGCAGCCGTAACAACACCCTGAAAATTATTGTATTGAACACGCAGAGCACTGTATGCCCGCTGTGTATAGTCAACCCACAGGCTGCCTAGTGTAAAAAGATTGGCAATATGCCTTGAACAATATTATTTTGACTTCAGTCGAGCAGTTCTTGATGGCATAGAGATATTATTTATTTGATGCTATAAGACAGCAGTCAACAAATATAACAGTTTAAGTTTACATAACATACATTATTGGGGGGAAAGGGATTGTTAGTAATGGAGACTGACAATCCCATTGCTAGGTATATTACCTAACCAGGTCGACCTCGTGGTTCCCCCTGGAAACTATCATGGTTAATTCCTGATGAATTCACCATGATGGGCTAACTGGGCTGTTTTCATTCTCATCTATCACCCTTCACTGGTGCTCCGCCAGCGTATCCCGTTAGCGCAGGCGGGGTACCATTCCATTTTCACCGATAAAAAAAAACATACATTACTTCAACTTTTTATTTTGCATAACTGCCTACCTATAATGTGTGTACTCCTATAATGTTGTTACTCTAAGTTTAATTTAATTGACTGTAAGTATAAGCGATGTCATGTGCATTAGTTAAATAAGGTTTTTATTTGTGAAAACCTGTAATTGGTTTTTTGTCTTTGCTGTTTTTTTTTTTTCATTATAAATATTTCTAGCCGTTGGTTTTTCTTTAATGAATAAATGTTCACATTTTCCTGAGCATATAATTCAACATGGAAGGTGGTCAAAGTGAGAGCCTACTATCAGTGGCGTAACTATACCATTTGGGGCCTGTGGCAAATTCCCACACTGATGGCCCTATCAGTAAAAATAAAATACCCGAGTACAATGTAAAAAAAAAAAAAGCTGAGCTCGCGGTCTATTGAGCCGGGGCTCTTTTGGATCGGGGGCCCGTGGCATTTTGCCAGTCTTGCCATCTTATTGTTACGTCACTGCCTACTATGGTCTGTAAATAATTTTTTAATAGTATTTAATGGAGAAATATCTTGAAATTTTAAAACACTTTGTTTTTAATCAATTTGAATTCATTAGTACCTGTAGTTATGTCAAAATAGTACATAATGGTGTAACTATACCATCTGAAACCTTTAGTAAATTAATTAGATGGGACCCTCCATTTACATATCTAAAAAAGCTTGATGTAGTTTCATGTTGCACCACGGACTCAGGCTAGGGGCCTATGGCATTTTGCCCGCTCTGCCACCCTATTATTACGTCACTGGTATACCACTATGCCACAATAACAACTGCAGTAATAGATTAATAAAAAAGAATTACAACATAGAGTAATATTTATTTAATGATTTAAATTTGATTTACAGAATGCATGATAAAGAAACGGCAAGAGCTTCAAGATGAGTTGCAGCGGATAGAGCAGCGTTGTCTCCGGACCAGAGCACCCGGAGCCAAGGAGAATGACCCTGAATCCACTGAAGATGGCCATAAAGAAGAGTCCAATCAAAAGAATTCTGATTCTGATCATGAAATGACAGATGATAAGGGAAGTAAAAGGAATAAGTTTGCAATGGACGCCGATGAAAAGGAGAAAGATGATAGCGATGTGGATGACAGGCATGATGAGGCTCCAAATATTGATATAAAGCCAAAAGAAGAGAAAGGTATTTTTTAGTTTCTTATTTTTTTATTTTTTTTATTTGCAATTGCAATCGAAAATGGTGATAATTGTCACCAATAGACATAACAAAATAATTATTGTGACATCTTTGGTATACTTCATGCATTACTATTGTAAAGTTAGTCCAATTCTTCCAACTGAAACCGTCATACATAGTTGCTTAGCGGCAGAAACTCGAGTGCTATTATCATTTTTAGTTTAACTATTTATCAGTGAGGCAGAACTTCTACCTCCCACTATTGCTGGCCAAAGCTTGGCGATCTTTTTTGCGAGATCATCCCTCCATTATATTCCGCCGCCGTGACCTCTTTTTGGATTTTTTTTAATTCTCTATTTGTTTAATTAATTATATAGTTCAAAAGCAATATAAAACAATAATTATAATTTTTCTAATCAGATTTATATCTTATAGATAAATATATGGCTGTCCCATTCGCGTCTACCGTGAAGCAGTTGTATTTGCATGGCTGTGTTTCCGTTTGAAGGGTGGGATATGGCGTGAATTTACTGGGTACAGGAATGGCAACGCATGGGGGGGTATCATGGGCGAAACAGTATACTTTGTTATATCCATGGTACTGCTCATGTCTATAGGCGACGGTTACCACTTTCCATCAGGTGGGCCGTCAGCTTGTTTGCCATTCTAAGTTGTATAAAAAAAATATGTAACTATATGTATTAGTAACAATATTTGTACTTATTTTAATAGTAAATGCATATCCTACTTAATTTTCTATTTGCTTCATAGTTGACTGGTGGAGGACGCCATTAGGTGTTGAGTCCGCTATATGTACACTTACATAAATATGCATTGAAGTTTAAATAAAAAAAATCTTTTCCAGAATTGGATGAGAGTAAAATGGACACCAATGTGAAGCAGAACACAAGTATCGCCGAGGATTCGACAATGATGACAGAAACGCAAGACGAGAGCGAGCCTCAAGAGATGAGCCAAGACGAGGTAAAGGCGGAGCAGCCAGACAAATCAGACGTCCAGAACTCAGATCATTCCTAACGCCTGTAATCATACTGTACTGAAATGTATAAAGTACTAAATAGACGAGATAAAATTATACCCATATGGAAAATTTATTTTCATTTTATTGGTACGGTTTTTGTTTATGGGATGAATGACGATTGCAAAATATAAAATAATGTAAGGAGTGCAACTTTTTTTTTCATTGATATAGTCTCTGGTCTGGTTATAGTTGTTAAAAAATGTTTTGCAATAATCAAGCCGGCGGTCACTTGATGGAAAATGGCAACCATTGTTTTTAGATGTGAACAGCACCATGGTCGTCATAGAAACTAATCATTTATCAAAGTACGCCTTTATTTTATCCTTATTATGTTACGATATCAATTGTTACTGCTTGTCTATGGTGTCCAGGCTGATTGATGAACTTGTTATTTTCAAAAATGGTATAAAAATGGCCAATATATACAACTTGTCACAATAGGGAGATTGTGTACTATATATTGGGTCGGTGCGTATGAAGTTGCCGATTTAATCAGAGGATCAAAAACACAAAATAATTTGTTTAAAAATTATTTAATTGTGACAAAATAATTACATTGATGCGCAATCGGCAATTTCATATGGCACCAACCCAACCCAATACATTACTGGTTACTTGTGGTAGGTCCATTAATTACGATACCAATTGGTACAAAATTATTTATTTAATTTAAATATATGTACATAGCAGTTATTATATTTACATCGTAATGCAGTAAATTCAGGCTGAAACAACAATATAGGCCTGCTGACAGTGAAAGATTATCAATACGAGATTAATGTGTCAAGCTCCTGTAGACAAGTAAATAAATAATTACATATGTTTTTTACAATAATTGTCTAAATATTTTGGTAACAATTAAGGGGCATATAACTTTAAAAAATCGCAGATACAGCCATCAAATGTACCATTAAGTACAATATAAAGGCAAATAATAAATTATATTAATATCTATAATTATAATAATTAAATTATTATACAAATAATTTATGTTTTTAAATCCTTTTTAATGTTATAGTGCAAGTGAGTTTGTTACTTCTTGATGCCCTGACAGATCAACGAATCATTATAATCTTTTGTAAACACATACATAATATTTAGCATAGACAGTCAATGGGCGCAGATGTGGTATATAAAAGCCCAGGAAGGAAGACAGTTCATCTTTTCTGTCCTTATTTATTGTTATTTTTAATTAAAAAAAGGCAAAGCCTACATATCCAAGCATAATAATCGTGACCAATAAATTTATCATAAAATTTTCAATCTAATGTGAAAATTCTAGAAGCTATATCGTCCAACATCCAATCCATGCCATCTAGAAGGTTCTCTCCGGTGACCGCCGAACATCGCACGATGCGCCAGTGGTGTGTTTTGATGCTGTCCAGGTCTAGAGCCTGAAAATTATATTTAATAAAAAAGGTTTTGTTTTATGAGAATACCACTGTATTAGATTGTGCTTTATATATTTATTAAATAAAATTGTCTAAGTGAGTAATTAAATGATCCATTTTTTATTTTTTCTAGATTTTATACAGGCAAAGTACAAACCATAGATACTAACAAACTTTAAAGACTATATATAATACGGTTCTATAAAGGGTGTCATACACTATCACTTATAATATGTTACAACTACTAAAACTAGGGGGAAAGGGATTGTTAGCAATGGAGTTCGACATTACTAGCAATACACCTATCAGGTCGACCTCCACGTGGTTCCCCCTGGAAAGCATCGTGAACAATTCTTGTTGAATTCGTCACGATGGACTAACTGACCTGCTTCATCCTCATCTATCATCCCTCACTGATGCCCCGCCGGTGTATACTGTTAGCGCGGGCGGGGTTACCATTCCATTATCACCCTTTAAAAAAAAATTACTAAAACTAAGACCTGGTAATAAATAAATCATAATTATGATTCATGTAAAATGGGCCTTTTTTTGCATACGAGCTATATAACATGCTACATTAAAAGAAATATTATACTGTATAAGAATAAAAAGGTGTATGTTGCTCAGTAGTTTGTATAAAACCCATAAGATCACCTCTCTAATCTCTTGTAAACTGAGTGCGCCAGGCAAATCAGCTTTATTGGCCAGCACTAGCAGCGTGGCGCCTGCAAGCCGCTCCTCCCGCAGCAGCGAGTGAAGCTCACGTGCACAGTCAGCTAGTCGCCGCGCATCTGCACTGTCCACCACCCATGCCACTCCATCTGTACTCTCAAAATAATTCTTCCAGTATGACCTAGAAAAATGGTAGTAATCATTACTACATTTAAGAAATTAAATTATGACGAGTGTTATGTTCACTACCAATTAAAAATTGACAAATACCAAAAGGTGTATAGGAACCCTTATGATGTGACTGTCTATTTGTCATAGCCCTATATCTTGGCAACTACTAATGCTATCAATTTAGAATAATTTTACATATTGTTGTTATTGAAAAAAAATTTTTTTATTACAGGAGCCCAAAAGTGGTGCTGGACATTTCAAAGGAGACCTACTAGTTCAAATGGGACATGAAGGGTCTTTGTTTGTAATTTTTAAAACTGTATTTCATTTTTTTTTATACAACTTAGAATGGCAAACAAGGTGACGGCCCACCTGATGGAAAGTGGTAACCATCGCCTATAGACATGAGCAATACCCTGGACATAACAGAGTATACTGTTTCGCTCATGATACCCCCCATGTGTTGCCATTCCTGAGGACTCAGATGTTATTCCTTTGTACCCAGTAAATTCACGCCATATCCCACCCTTCAAACTGAAACACAGTCATGCAAACACAACTGCTTCACGGTTGAAACACGAATGGGACAGAGGTACCCAAGCAACCAACTTTTGTACAAAGTCTCCCTCTGGTGATCATTTATTTTTATAATGCGTATTTTAGTAATTATGATAGACAATATGTGAAAAATACTATTCCCCCTTATCTCAGAAATTTGTGAAGTGAAAAATCTGAAATAATTACAATTTATAAAGTTATATGTGAATTTTATAAGAAACTGTTTCCAACTAACACTGTTTGAGAAGTTTTCAATAAACTTCCAAAAACAAAATTATGTGGTCCAGTTTTGAACCACAATTATAGCCTAAAATTGAGAAATTACAAAATGAAATGTCAATAATAAAAGCAGTAGAGGCAATTTTACTTCCTATCTATCTATGTATATATGTAGGTTTTTCTTTACAATATTCAATACAGTATGTCTATAATATACTAGACTGTATGAAAGGTAATAACATGGCTATATTAAATAAAAGATGAATAAATCTACAAAAAAAAAATGAATAAAATAAAAATAACATCAGGGGGACTGACTCAGAGATTGGATGATTTGACTCGGAGCACCCATGATGCTAGACACCATAATATAGCCAGAATAATCTTCATCTCATTATCTGTAGTTTAGGTTTTTTTTTTATACAACTTAGAATGACAAACAAGCTGACGGTTCACCTGATGGAAAGTGATAACTGTCGCCTATAGACATGAGCAGTACCATGGACATAATAGAGTATACTGTTTCACCCATGATACCCCCCATGCATTACCATTCCTGAGGACTCAGGTGTTATTCCTCTGTACCCTGTAAATTCACGCCATATCTCACCCTTCAAACCGAAACACAGTAATGCAAACACAACTGCTTTACGGTTTAAACACAAATGGGACAGAGGTACCCAAGCAAACGACTTTTGTACAAAATCTCCCTCTGGTAGGTCATGCTTGCTTGCTTACTACAATATGTGTGGTGTGGTCTTAATGTGTTCTCAGTTCCCACCAGATGCTTTTGATGTAAAGCTACCAAATGGGAAGATTCTCAACATCAAGCCAACTGGGTTGGTTAGAATGACCAACTGTCATTGTTAGTATACTAATTTCTTTAAATTCTAAATGCAATCATTGACAATTGACCATCTGGCATCAATCGTATCTATCGATACAAGCAGTGTCTTTCAGCTGAAAAAATGATGATGTACCTAGTCATCAAAAGAGCATGAATACCCATGAGGTTTTCCAGAGCTGGCGCTCCTGCATGACACCAAGCCATATTAGGGGTAGAATGATGATTTGACTGTACCTTAAAGACTTCTGTCCACCAACATCCCAAATATTCAGCTTGAAACCGCGGTGTTCTAAAGTCTTTATGTTAAAGCCGAGAGTCGGGGATATTGTGTCTATTGGTTCTCCATTAAACCTTTTTAATATTGTAGTCTTACCGGCATTGTCTAATCCTCTGAGAAAAAATTCTAAGGAAATTATTAAACATAAAATAAATACATGTGGCAGTAAATTGTAGTATAAAAGGATACAACATAAGTATTCGCATCTCTTTTTCCTTCTGTCGCAATTTCTTTAATATTGTTAGAAAACCCATATTGAAACTTTGTATCTGTTTGTTAAATAAGCCGATATCGTATTTTATTTTAACAACAAAAAAATACTAAAAAAACAAAATTTATCAAATTTTAGATAAAGTTGACTAAGTTTGACTGACACATCAACTGACTGACAGCTTCATTCAACTCGATACTCCTATCATTTCTATCACTAGAACTTCGTTCAAGGCTGTCAAAATCACAATAACAAATCCGAATTCGATCCAAAGAAAGCTAGAGAAAAAGATTCATGAATGGATAAGATAAGTAAGATGATTGATGCGAGATTGATAAGAGGATCAAAACTAATAATTAACGAATTTATCAGTTAGACTTACCGATAAAGCTAAGAAAGGAAGCTTTGAAAGGAACAATAATTATACATTTATAATTTCTACTCAGCTCTTATTCTACGTAGATTTATCTGTTACTATATAATTTTATGAGCTCTCTGAAAGGAAATTGATTCCTGACAGTAAAATTTAGCTAATCTTATTTAATTTAAGCCACGGACTTTAAATTTCATTAAATTAAAATGCTGAGGATTTTAGTGGGATGTTTTGAAAAATAACTAAAATATTATTCCACCTAACAAATAATTACATTTTCTAATAAATTATTTATTTACTGCTGTCTTGATAGTTATTAGGTATAATTCAAAAACATTATGTGCAAATATAATAAGTAAAATGAATGGGATACGTACTTATACGTAATTTATTATCTTCTGTATGTAAATGCAGATACTTTAAAATATTGGTAATGAGGGTTCGAAGGGCGCATATATTATTTATAAACGCAATCAGTAAACAAATAAAACACCAGCTCTTTGAGCTTTCCAATGACAACACTATATTTTTTAAATCATTTATATTCTACAGTTTACAAATGGCCAGTTTGAAGTTTAACAGATACGTCTCTGAAAACCTTTAATCATATTTTTTTAAAGACATATTTTTTTTTAAGATTAAGGATATAAATCCAAGTATCCAGTCGCAGCGTACTTCCAGAATATCTATCCTATGTTTTTGTGTCTGTACCTGCCATAAGCAACCCTTAACTTTTTCAGGAAATCGAATTGGAATCCATTATTGACCATAGAGTAAAATATCCAATCCATCCATGGCCGAACTCGTCGCTGTCAAATCTTTTATTTAATTTCTAATTCAATATGAAGCGTCTTCAATGATTTTATGCGGGTTTATCGTGTGGTAGTGATCGTGTGGCGGCGCGGTCTCGGTGATACTGCTCGTTGGTCGGCAGCACCATGTTCAGCGGGACGGTGCGAGTGAGGGTTTGTGAGGCGACGGGTCTCAGGCCGACCGACTTTCAGAAAAGGCACACTGTGACCTTCGGGAAACCAGGTGAGCTTTGTGCACGGGCTTAAAATTTCACTGCGCTATTTACTTTTGTTATGTGATGTAAAATATTTTACGTCGAGCGAAGTTTGTCCGCAATAATTCGTAAAGAAAAGGCGTTGCATGTTTACAAAATGGGTGGTGGTATATGTAAATACGCGGTATCGTTGCAGACGACCAGCCGATAGACCCGTACGTCTCGATCGACGCCGACGAGCACCATCTAGACCGTTCGACCACCAAACCCAAAACATTCGATCCAGTCTGGAATGAAACCTTCATACACGAGGTGCACAATGTCACCAGGTTCGTATCCCGTGTGTCCGCAATCGTTTTTTTTCACTTTTCCGCACTGTATATGGTTACTGATTATTGTTCTTTGTAGTTTGGGGATCACTGTATTTCACGACGCCGCTATACCGCCAGATGACTTTGTGGCAAATTGCACCATTCCATTTGAAGATCTGATGCATAGAGATAAAGAAGCCACAGATTTTTGGGTGAGTTGACAGATTTTTTGTGTGCTCCTTGTCATAACAAGACTGAAATTGAATTGGAAGTCAATGTTATCATAATCTTGAGATAAGATATTGATTGAGTTTGCTGCCTATAGTATGATATTTTAAAGATTCACTTTAATGTTTGTTTTGGCTGATAACAGTGTGATGGTTTGATATAAAAATAGAACCTTGGAGAGTGCACTGTTTATAATCTGTTTTAGTGCTCTGAGTGGTATGTTTATTGTAAAGTGATGATTGTCATACCTAGACTCTTGTTATACACAGCTGGTGGAAGAGGTGGGCTTGCTGTTTTGTGTTTGTTACATTTGAATATTTTAATTTCTAATAAGAATTATAATTGTACATAGTTTATTCACATGTGTAACAACTTATGTGCATTTTAATTATATGAAATTAAAATATACAATTTATAGACTTACACTTATTATTAGAAACTAATATTTATTATTTGATGTAAAATCATAATAGAAAGAATAAAAATGATCTTTTTTGAGATATACTTAATTCCTTTATTACTTTAAAATTTTAATTTTTTTTGTAATTCTACTGCTGGCTTTGGCATATTTGCAAGAAACTCGACAGTTATTATTAAATTTTTTTATGAATCATAATAAAATGGTAATGAGGTATATGTATTATTTATAATATTTTTATTGTAATTTTTAATTAATGATTTAAATATTTTTTGTCCAGTGTACACTTCATTTAGAACACTACATATTGTTATGGAAGTAGAATTCTCTCAGGAAGTTTCAAAATGTCATGGCATTTGGGGATGTACAATTTTAAAATGTTATTTATAACTTGTATATTTTTGTAGAACATCAAAAAAAAAAAAAAACAAAAGTTTTGAAAGACAGCAAAGTTAAAAGGAAACTATTTATTTTGTAAAAAAAAAAAATTCCACTTTTGTGCTGCTTTGTGTATTATTATTGATTTACAATAGATTACCATGAATGTATCATTTTCAGGTGGACCTAGAACCTCAAGGGAAGTTGCATCTCAAAATTGATCTGAAATGGAATTCTCAAGGTAAGTACATTTTTTTTTTCATTTATTACAAAAATAAAACATCCTTTAAGTTGACAATAAAATTGTCATATAGATTTTTTTTTATTATGGAATTAGATTATAGAATATTGTTACTATTATTGAAGGTCTTATAATTGACTTTAATTTTGCTTGATGGGAAGTGATGTTGAAGTCAAAGATAGAACTTGGGGGGCCTGTGAACAGCCTATACACTTTATTGTCATTTATTCATATTTATTTCACAGTATGTATAATTATAAAATGAAATTAAATTTATTTGTAAAATATGCTGTTTGACTAGTACTAGTATCTTGTTTTTAAGTGATTTTCAAAATGAATGATGTTTTTAATTGGCCTGTATTTTTTGTGAGTAGATTATATGAGGTCATCATCATCATCATCAACTGATTTTGATGTTTTTACAATTTTCATGTTGACTTCATATTTGAAAAGTTTAACTTAAATACATAAGTATAGTAATGATATTATTTGTCTATTATAAATACAATTCAGTCTGTTGTACCACTATGCTTACAAATGAACATAGGGGTTAAATGGTGGTAAACTAGCTTAGGGAGACTTGCAATGGGACAATGTACCACACTATTGTCCCTGAAGAAATTTAGTCTAGGTAAAGTGTGTTCAGGAAGCACAATCATAATTTTTTTTTTATATAACTTAGAATGGCAAACAAGCTGACGGCCTACCTGATGGAAAGTGGTAACCGCCTATAGACATGAGCTGTACCATGGACATAACAGAGTATACTGTTTCGCCCATGATACCCCCCATGCGTTGCCATTCCTGAGGACTCAGGTGTTATTCCTCTGTACCCTGTAAATATTTTCTGCCTATTCATAGCAGGCTTGGTGTGATGATATATATTGGTAAATGTATGATTACGAGTGGAAATTCAAAATGAAAAATTGACAAGATCCTAAGTTATTTTTGTTATCATGAATGAACAAATTTTTTGCTTATTATATTTCATATTTTTATTTTTGTTTAGTTTAATTTACATACTATTATTTTAATAAAGGAAACCCAAATTGTTATTTAAATGGAAAAAGTGTTTATTTTATCAGTTGGTTTGAAATCAATAATTATATTAATTGTCATATGATATAATCACATCAATGATGCATTTCTATTTTTAGTCTTGTTTTGTTACAAATGTCATATAGTTATTTTGTTTTTTTTTTTTTTAATTTATAATTCAGTTCTGAATCGAACCATTGTATGGTTCCTTTAACAAAAAAAAAAAAAAAAAACTGAATAAATATAAAAAAAATATTTAATTAAAATAGAAATATGTTTTTTGCACTGTTGCTTCTCACTATCAAGCAATGACTATGTCAGTACATAAAAAATATTGAGTAAATATTTTTTATGTTGGACTTGGCTAGTTAGTTGAATAGTTTGATCGTGACTGGTTTGTTTCTGCGGCGGCGGTTTGTGCGCTGCGCAGCGGGCAGCGTGGAGACGAGCCGCGGCGGCGCGGCGCCGGCGGCGGGCGGCGGCGGCGCGGCGCGCGGCCGCGAGTTCAAGGAGGGCGCCGGGTTCGCGCGCCGCCGCGGGGCCATGCGGCGCCGCGTGCACCAGGTCAACGGACACAAGTTCATGGCCACCTTCCTGCGCCAGCCCACCTTCTGCAGCCACTGCCGCGAGTTCATCTGGTGAGCTTTATATGCACCCACCGGAACCTGTGTTGGAGGAAAATGGACATTCCTACAACAATCCCTTTTCCCCCGCCCCGAGAGTTTTTTTTTGATGGGTGAAAACGCTATGGTAATCTCGCCTGCGCTAACGGGATACGCTGGCGGAGTAGCAGTAAAGGGTGATAGATGAGAATGAAAACAGGCCAGGAAGCCTATCATGATGAATTCATCAGGCATTAACCATGATAGTTTCCAGGAGGAACCGCGAGGAGGTAGACCTGGTTGGGCATATTGCTAGCAATGGGATTCGGTCTCCATCACTAACAATCCCTTTCCTCCCGTCCAAAGAGTATTAGAGAGATTCGTTTTTTCGAAGTCGCTAAATTATGGCTTCTGCCCTACCAAAAAGTTCTTTTGCCCTACCTTCAACTTAGGTCTAGCTATGGCCCTACCATAAACGCATCATTCTTGACTACGGAATGGTTAATAGTTGATGAATTTTAATAGTTCTACAATTTATTTTAATTTTTTAAAGACCTATTATAATATTAAATACAAGAGTTGGTAAGCATAGATAATAAGCATAAGTGTTTGTTATTCTATCACGCGAAAACTACTGAACTGATTTGATTGAAATTTGGTACATGGGTAGGTTATATCCTAACAAAGCATATAGGATACTTTATGTACTTACGCGGGCGAAGTCACGGGATATAGCTAGCATGGAATATAGAGGAAAATGCAACAAATTTTATTATGCTCTGAGACTTTATCCACGTAAATTGAGATATAGAATATGATATTTCATTACTCTTTATAAAATAATAAATTATAAATGGGACAGTAGCACATTGTTGAGCCTTGTTTCATTTCGTACAGGTAATAAAAGAATACAAAAATTATTTTATATACCGATTTGTAACAATAATGTATCGTATCACAATCCAATTATCCGCATGTGCAGAAAATATAACAATGTATGCAAGGACCTTGATATCTTCCAACAATCCTTGCAATGTTACATTAAGGCTGCCAATTTGTTACTTTAAATTTATAGCCGTCATTCTTTTAATGTATATAATATCGAATGTTATGCAGAGCAGTTATTGGAGTGCAAATTTAATGTCGTTTCATGTAATATTTATTTTATAAATGTATTAATTTGTAATCTGTTGCCTTGCTATAAATAAATAAATAAATAAATATAATTTTTATTAATATATATTAAGTTATTTAAGCATAAGTTAATAATAATAACGTTTATATATTTCGATTTACAGGGGCTTGGGTAAACAAGGTTACCAGTGCCAAGGTAAATATGACTTTATTGCTTTCATTACAATGACTATATTTATAAATCTCAGGTGTAACTGAACATTGTTACTTTTCTTGGCAGTGTGTACGTGCGTCGTTCACAAACGGTGCCATTCATCCGTTGTCACCAAATGCCCCGGCATGAAGGAAGAGGTAAGTTGTTTTATATAATAATAAACATACATTACCAGAGGGAGACTTTGTACAAAAGTCGATTGCTTGGGTACCTCTGTCCCATTCGTGTTTCAACCATAAAGCAGTTGTGTTTGCATGGCTATGTTTCGGTTTGAAGGGTGGGATATGGCGTGAATTTACTGGGTACAGAGGAATAACACCTGAATCCTCAGGAATGGCAACGCATGACGGGTAACATGGGCGAAACAGTATACTCTGTTATGTCCATGGTACTGCTCATGTCTATAGGTAACGGTTACCACTTTCCATCAGCTTGTTTGCCATTCTAAGTTGTATAAAAAAAAAAAAAAACAGACATGTACTCGAGCTCTTGCTTGGGTGTGGAATATTAACTATCGTGAGTTATTCTATATTGTAATTATTTATGTCGATTTTTATTTACGTTTTAAAACTAGTAGTTGGGCATATGCGAATTTCCAAAATTCGAATACTATTTTAGATTTGAGTAGTGTTTTAAATGATTTCTGAAGTTTACTTTAATGAAGATAATAAATTAAACTTCATTCAATATTTTTTGTTAATAATTAAGTAAATATAAATGAAATATTACCGTAAATTCGCCATAAAACCACCAAAAATGTTTTGATTCGATTATAAATTCATGAATTCATAAATAATTTATTTATCTATCTATCTGTATAAAAATTTACGAAAAAACGCGACTAGTAGTCGAGTACTCTGTAGTAGTGCAAGTATATCTATTACAAGTGATAATTACAAGTGATTATTTCTTGTAATTATTTATATTTATAATAAGTTTACTATTGTAATCTTTTGGAGGAAACAATAAAGAGTATCTGTCTATCTATCTATATTGAGTACTCGAGGAGCTGAGTACTTAGTCCCTTGTGAGGCTGATTGCAACCATGACTAGTGCGGTGGGTAGTAACGTGTCTCTTGCGACTGCAGCAGCAGGGCGGCGCGGGCGTGGCGGGCGGCCAGCGGTTCAACGTGAACGTGCCGCACCGGTTCACCGTGCACTCGTACAAGCGGTTCACCTTCTGCGACCACTGCGGCTCGCTGCTCTACGGACTCATCAAGCAGGGCCTCCAGTGTGAAGGTATGCTTTGCAGGGGACTGTCCTTGCCAGTTGGTTAAACTAAATGAATTGCCCAACGGATCATAAAAGAAAGAAAGAAATGTTTTTATTCAAGTAAAGTTAGATTTAAGCATTTTTGAATAGTCATTTTTTTTTTCATTACCTCCCATTTGGAACGCAATTTCAGACTAAGAATGAGCAAGAAAAAAAAGCTGTTGCTTTTTTTTTTTCAAAAAGTTTTAATATATAAATAATGGATTTGACAAACGACATACAATTTCCAACCTTTCATACGATCATAACGACCAACTGCTCAGTATGGCCCAAGTTTTTTGTCATTTTTGAATTATTATTTATAAAATTTTTATCGTATTAATGTTCTATACCATGTGATGGGGTACGCGCCGCGGTATCAGACAGTCCAAAAAATCCCCGAAATGAAACACTACATATGAGAATGAGTATAATGTAAAAAAAATTATTACAGTACTAAATATTTCAAATCTACAATGCTAGAACCTGAGTTCCAGGGAATTAACAGAGCGCCATGTAGTATCAACTTTGGAATTTAAACAAAATAATAATTGTGTCTCCGCACAAATAATTAAGTAAACCTAAATAAACCCTTTGTAAAGTACAAATACAAAATATATATAAAGGTGTATAAACAATGAATTTATAAATAGGGGCGCTCACACCATGGGTAGATAAATTAGTGTCACATATCTCTAACGTCTTCAATTTCAACCTGTATGCAAGAACAGCTCCATGGTGATCACTTTGTACACTGCAGTTGAGATGTTATGTTTCTGTATATTGTTATTTCAATTCCATGTCCCATTCTTCAAACTGAAGAAACAGTCGTGCAAACACAGCTACTTGGCGACAACAATACGAATGGGAATGCGATACCCAGTGTTATATTTAAATATCCCTGTTAATTTAATCAAATGGAGAGATTCGAATATAAGGAAATATAGGGCAACACTTAAGTAATTGAAGTGCCCATATGGCTCATAAGGATAAGTTTCCAGAGCCGTAAAACATCTTATTAATAAAAAAATAATAATAATAATGAAGTGCCCACAGAAATGTGCATTATTTTTATTTTCCTAAAAATATCAAAACTGTGCAAAAAATCATCATTGATCGTGGTTCTGATTGCTTGTGATTTATATAACGTGTTATCTCTTCCAGTATGTTCCATGAACGTGCACAAACGGTGCCAGAAGAACGTCGCGAACAACTGCGGCATCAACACAAAGATGATGGCCGAGATACTAAACGAGATGGGCATCTCGCCCGACAAAAACCCCAGGCCTCGACCCTCCAAGGTATGTTGTCCATTACTATAGTTTTTTTCCTATTGTTTGGGTGACGGCGGTAGGCTCGTTGTGCCTGCTATGTTGGATCTTTACATGTTATATTTACCACAGTGGCGACCTTTAGCAAATGCCTCTTATTATTTCATATAAAAAATATATATATATATATAATGAAAATAAGGACTGGAGATTTTCATTTTATGCTTGATTGTAATTACTCCTCTCCATCCAAAGGTTGCGTGGAAGAGATCGCCCTCAGCAATAAGGTCGCCCATTGTTTTCTCCTTGTGATTATTTCTTGTAATTGTTTGTATCTATAATAAGTTTACTATTGTAATCTCTTGGAGGAAACAATAAAGAGTATCTATCTATATTATTACTATTTATATTATTTTTATGCAATTTGAGGCAATTGTCTTTTTTTATACCACTGAGGTGGCAAACAGGCATAACGGCCCATCTGATGGTAAGCGGCCTTCTTCTAAACATCATAGACTTGATACCCAGAGATAGATAGATAGATAGATACTCTTTATAGTTTCCTACAAAAGAATAATCTTAATAATTCCTGAGTACTAATGATGATAGGGTGATAGGTGTGACTGCAAGTAGGTTATTAGGCTCATCTCTTTATGAGATTTATGATAATTGATCGAGAGTGATCCACAGTAGTTACTAGGGGGGACCCCATGGAGGTTGGCCAAACGAGGTATATTGCTATCAATGGGGCCGTTAGTACCCTCCTACTATTTGCTTATTTAGCATTGTAAGTATCATACCACTGTCGCCAGTACCTGAACACGGCGCTGCTGGAGGGCGCGGCCGAGCTGGTGTCGTCGGCCGACTCCGACTGCAAGGAGCACGGCGACAAGCACGACGACAAAGGTACGCTCCCACCTACTCACTACTGCTATTTTCTTTTAGATGGGTAAATATGGTATGGTAACCCCGCCTGCGCTAACGGGATACGCTGGCGGAGCACCAGTGAAGGGTGATAGATGAGAATGAAAACAGGCCAGTTAACCCATCATGATGAATTCATCGGGAATTAACCATGATAGTTTCCAAGGGGAACCGCGAAGAGGTCGACCTGGTTGGGTATATTGCTAGCAATGGGATTTTCAGTCTCCATTACTAACAATCCCTTTCCCCCCGGTCCACCTGGTTGGGTAGCAATAGCTAGCAATGGGATTCTCAGTCTCCATTACTAACAATCTTTCCCTTCATTATCCTGCTATATTACGGACCAGTGTAGGACATAGCCATGGGCAATAAGGATACCGATCCGATATCTATATATTGAGCTTCTCTGGATATTGATGGCGGAAAAATGGTCACCTATTTTGATGTCAGTCAGATATCTCATTTCGAACATGTTAAAAGTAATGTTGGATAACAGACTTTTGACATATTCATTAATAGACCAATATATAGATATTGCAACTAAAATATATAGATATTGCAACTAAAATATATAGACATTGCGACTAAAATATATAGATATTGCGACTAAAATATATAGATATTGCGACTAAAATATATAGATATTGCGACTAAAAATATAGATATTGCGACTAAAATATATAGATATTGCGACTAAAATATATAGATATTGCGACTAAAATATATAGATATTGTTAAGTACTACCCACTCCTAGTAGGAGATACTGCCACGTGATATGTACAGTGGCTCACTTGTAGACTTTTAATTCAATAAAAGGACGATAAAAGAATGGACAGCGATGCAGTCGAGGTATTTTTTATTGTGCTTCTTTTTTTTTTTTTACATGTCGTCAACATGTTAATTACGTAAAGCGACATTTGAAGTATGTCTTGTTTGTTGTTGCTAGAATCTTCTGTATTGTGCAGTGTCCGTGTAGTTGCATGCTTCAGTAAACATTTGTATGTCCATTCCTTGTTTGTATTGTTATGTTTGTTACATTTAGTTTTTATTTTACTACATTTATTTTTTATTCACTAGACCTTTGTGATGGAGTATTGCTCAATATTTTTATGTACAAATGTGTATAAATACATATATATTCGAGTGTAAATTAATACCCTGCCTCTCCTGGTCGTGACATTATTTAAATAAATAATAGTATTTATTTTTTAAATAAAAAATAAATACTAAAATTATTTTAATTACATTTGAAATATATCCGTATAAAAATTATGTTGTAAACGGTCATATGTGTTCCAATTTGTCGGTGCCAAAAATTGAGTGATATATGCAAATTCTTGACATAAGGGCCATTAACCTAATCTCTTATTATTATTATGAGGGGGAAGACGTTTGCTTTATTAAGTCTTGCGTGGCGGCGACAGCATCTTTGCGATTGGTTTAGGATGAGATGTAAGACGATTATAGTTCTTTCTATAGCGTTTTACTTCTTCAGAAACTGTTTACATTGGATTTTGTTTTTAATCTATGCAAATTTTGTACATGAAAACATTGAGTACTACTCCTACTGTGTATTGTGTAAAATTTTCATACTTTGTTGTATATCCCTTTCAGACCTGAACGCTACGGGCGTGAGTTGTAACTTTAAAAATTCTAAAACCGCGCGCAATTCATTTTTACGCACGAAGCTGAAATAATATGATAGTGAGATTCTAAACCAGCCAATAAGAAATCATTTAGGTTAGGTGGTGCAGTAGTCTCGTGCGTGCCGGCAAGATGGCTTGGCTCCAAAACACGAAAATATATTTAATCTGAAAGAAAAAAAATCTTGGGTCTGAAAGGGATATGTGTGAATCATTTACTTTCAACTGGCTTCAAAAACGAAGGTTGTCTTAAAGTCGCTTAAAATATGCGTATAACTGTTCATGTCGACACCGTGGTTTACCGAAATATGTTGGAAATTGACAGATAATTCCTATGTTGCCACACTTCGGCATGTTTCGGTGTGAACGGTCGCAATCCAATCCAATTATTTTTCCAATTAATGCCGATTGTCAGTTGATGAAGTATTTGGATTTATTTGGAATGGTGTGTGATGCAGTAAGTGTGAGTATGGCGTGGCGTGCAGCGCCGCCAGGGGGCGCGCGGTCGCACTGGGACGACCTCGCGGACATATTCGCCTGCACCGACCAAGGTTGCCTCTTGTTACAGCTTCGGGTGGTGGCCTCGTTGCTTGTTCTATGCATGCCCTTTGTAAGGTTGCCACACAACATATTTCATATTCATATTTTTTTTATTTTAGGGCAACTTATAAAGTAATCGACAAATTTTTGGTATATAAAATTAAGGTCATTTATTGCTTGTAATTATAAGACGTTAGGTATGTAAGAGATTTGTGGAGTTTTTTGCAACTAAATGAAAAAAAAAAAATAGAAAACAAAATACAAACTAAATTATAAATAAATTATTAAGTTACTGAATCATTAAATTTTGTTTAAAAATGTATTTACAATGTGATAACGATAATTTCGTGTTAACAAGTGCATCTACTGCCTTTGTTATACACTAAAGCGTCTGACTGGGTTTGAACCGAACCAATACTTTACATGCTCTTTGAAGCATTAAATAAATGATGAATAATAAAATGTACAATGGACTGTGCTCAGAGGAATTGTTCAATATGATGCCCACAGCCACTTTCTACCATCGTACGGCTCGACATCCACAGGGAGTTCATCCTCATGTCCTACAGCCTCAATGGTCGCGTACTGCGCGGTTTCAGAGATGTTTCCTCCCACGAACACTCAGGTTGTGGAATGAGCTCCCTGCCGAGGTTTTCCCAAGAGACTATAGTATGGGGCTCTTCAAAAGGGGGGTAAAGAGGTTTCTACGAGGTCGGCAACGCGCGCGTAATATTTCTCGTATTGCAGGTGTTTATAGGCTACGGTAACCACTTACCATCAGGTGCGCCGTATGCTTGTTTGCCACCTCAGTGGTATAAAAAAAATACTCAATCGAATTTAGAACAATTCAGAAGGTTTACGCTGAGAACTTCGTTGCTACAAACTAGTGTTCCACCCATTAACATTGTTTAAACGTAATTAAAACGTATAAATAAATAATTTAAGGTCCAAATTTGTGTGGCAACCGTTTAATATTGTTGTTGCAGTGTTTGATAATGTTTGCATACGTAGGTCCGCAGGAGAACGGCACCGCGTACCGCTCGCAGTGGGCGGACGATCTCACCGATGTGTCCATCACATACGAAGGTTTACATCTTACACACTACGGTGGCGGGATTATTGATTTGCTATTGGCTGATGGCGTCGTTTGCATGGTTGTGTGTAGTAAAACTATGTATACTGTCAATTATATACAAGTTGTAACGGAAAGTTGAGTAATGTAAGGAAATTCAGTAACTAACAGAGGAAAATGGTTTAAATAAATCTAATACTCCAGTCATGGTTTGAAGGGTGGGGTATGGCAATAAAATTATAGGGCACAGAGGCGTGACATCTTAGTCCTCAAGAATGGCAGTGCACGAAGGGTATCGTGGGCGACACTGTATACTCTGTTATGTCTATAGTGCTGGCCATGCCTATAGGCGACGGTTACCATTTTCCATCAGATTGGCCGTCAGTTTGTTTACCATTATAAGTTGCATATAAAAACATGGTCCAGTCGCAGTGGCATAGCTGTATTTCTGTACGAAGGGTGCAAATAGCAGCGTAGTTATAGGGTGCGGAAGTATTTAATGTTAAATGTATTTGAAAAAAAACTATCTTTCTAGTGTAGTTCAAACTTAAGTTTATTATTAGTACTGAGTTTGGGTATAGATGGCGCTGTTTGCATAAAGTGGTATCAAGCCTGAAAAAAATCACTAGACAACATTGTTTTTAATATTATGAATACCAACTATAACTGGACTTCCAATAAATTTTTTTATGCAACTTAGAACGGTAAACAAGCTGACGGCCTACCTTATGGAAAGTGGTAACCGTCGTCTATAGACATGAGCAGTATCATGGACATAACAGAGTGTACTGTTTTGCCCATGATACCCCTCATGCGTCGGCATACTTGAGGACTCGGGAATATCTCAGTTCAGTTGCCATATAATATAAACTATTTTAGTCAATTGTAACCTTTCTGTTACATTTGTATATAAAAATTTAATCGCATGAGCAATATATTATGATAATGATTTATCTACTTTCTTTATATACAATTTTCTGCTGTACGTTCATAACACGATTCCGTTGTTCAGTTAACTTCAAATAATCGTTATATCGTTATTTTCATTATTATTTTCGTAATGAAAACATCCGGAATATGTATTACAGTACTTTGATTGCTAAGATAATTCTGACGCTGACTGTACCTCAAGATTTTTATGTTACAAAGGTCGGCAAAGTGCAAATAATGCTTCTGGTGGAGTAATGCCTTCATACTCTATGTATGTTGGCTATACACATTCATAGGATTTGACGGTTAGAGTGTTGGGTTGCCATTTCAAAAAAAAAAAAATTATATCTACTGATGTGAATTTATTTTATATTTAAAATTCGGTTAAGGGATTCTGGGCTCAGAAGTTCCGGTAAGGATAGCAAAATTGCGTTTTTTTTGTAATTAATTTTCGATAATATATTTTTACAAGATAAAAATGTTGCGGTCCCTGTATCACAAAAAGGAGTGGTCATTTTTATGCTGTAAACACACAGTGGTGTATGTTTAAATTAAAACTTGGATAGACTATGAATTTTGCTGTTCGTACCAAAGAACTATTATTGGTATAGTCTGTTTCTATAGAACTTAATGGAAATGTAATCAAAATAAATGATTCGATGTCAAGACAGTTTGATAGTGTCTAATTGTGATATAGATTAAAAATCGATTTTCCGGTTGAATGTTACCAATTTTTTTTTTGATGGGTGAAAATGGTATGGCAACCCCGCCTGCGCTAACGGGATACGATAGCGGAGCATCAGTGAAGGGTGATAGATGAGAATGAAAACAGGCCAGTTAGCCCATCATGATGAATTCATCAGGAATTAACCATGATAGTTTCCAGGGGGAACCGCGAGGAGATCGACCTGGTTGGGTATATTGCTAGCAATGGGATTCTGTCTCCATTACTAACAATTCCTTTCCCCCCCAATTTAGAGTGATTTTAACAAAGTATTGTTACTATTTCGTTAAGTTGTATAGATTATATATTATAGCTGGTAGTTGTGGGTGTAACGGTGTGTAGTGTAAGGTGGGTTGGGTGGGTAGTAGTGCAGTGTGCATGTCGGCAGGCGGCGAGGGCGCGGGCGGCGGCGCGGCGCGGGACAAGGTGTCGCTGGACGACTTCCACTTCATCAAGGTGCTGGGCAAGGGCTCCTTCGGCAAGGTCATGCTCGCTGAGAAGAAGGGCACCGACGAGGTAACACTACATATACCACTCACAATTAAATTAACGATTGTTTACTTTGGTGATTAGGTGAAAGCATGTTGATGGGTTTAAAAAAATTGCAGTATCAATTTTAAAAAAAAGTCGACGTAAGGGTTCAAATAAGGGGTAAATGCCAACAGCGTAAAGGGATAATGAGTGTGGCGTCGTCCATAGCGGTGTATATATAGTGCGTGCGGGTGCAGGTGTACGCGGTGAAGGTGCTGAAGAAGGACGCCATCATCCAGGACGACGACGTGGAGTGCACGCTGACGGAGCGGCGCGTGCTGGCGCTGGCGGCGCGGCACCCGTTCCTCACGGCGCTGCACTCCGCCTTCCAGACGCGCGACCGCCTCTTCTTCGTCATGGAATACGTCAACGGCGGCGACCTCATGTTCCAGATACAGAGCGCCAGGAAGTTCGACGAGCCGCGCGCCAGGTACCCTCGCCTCTCTCACCCTCCATTCTACGTTCGCCCTCTATCCTAAGCTCTCCCCCCATCCTAAGCTCTCGCCTCCCATCCTACGCTCGCCTTCCATCCTACATTAGGCTCCCATCTTACGCTCGCCCCCAATCTTATGCTCGCCCTCCATCTTACGCTCGCTCCCTTCTAAACATACATCGTTTCTATTTCTGTCCACGTCATTTTGGTTTAATTTTTTACCGATTCAAAAAGTGGTTTCAATCTAGAAAACTGTGTAAATTGATTAGTATTTATTTTCTGTGGTAAAATAAAAAAAAATCGTTCATTAACTGTCCATTGCATATAGACCTCCCCTAAAGGGTTTTGCCTGTTGCCACGCTCAGCAGGCAAGTTGGCAACCACAGTTTTAGACTACAGTGTAATTTTAAGATGAACACTCTACTTTCTATCCCTTCACTATAAATTTCCCTTAATCACTCCCTTACAACACCCACGGGAAAACAAGAGATTGCCCAGTCAATGCTAGAACCATTAAATTGCCCTTATCAAAAATTATAATTAATTATTAAATAAAAAAAGTGCAAAATTATTTTAAATTAATAATTTCCAGCAAATTACTATGTTAAGAATTATATGCTTGCATATATTTTTTCTATAGTTTCTTATAATTTTTTTTTTCATTACTATCTATCTCCGTCTGTCAGTTCCCGTGTGTGGGCGTATAACGAGTAGTGTACTGTACTGTACGCGGCAGGTTCTACGCGGCGGAGGTGACGCTGGCGCTGCAGTTCCTGCACTCGCACGGCGTCATCTACCGCGACTTGAAGCTGGACAACATCCTGCTCGATCAGGACGGCCACATCAAGATCGCCGATTTCGGCATGTGCAAGGAGGGCATACTCGGTCAGTACGCAGTGGACATAATGTTGTCCACATTCACCACATGGTACTTAGAATTACTGCGAGACTACAGATTGTTCTATGTTGCGGGTAGGATGAGGTTGGTAGAGACGTATATTTCTAACTCCTTGAAACTAAAATGTTAACAAGTGATCTTATATATTAAACTAGCGACTGGCCCCGGCTTCGCACGGGTACACATTACATCATATCACATTAGAAACCTCTAAAATTATCAGTGTTTCTCTACAATATTATGCATGTATTATACATATAAACCTTCCTCTTGAATCACTCTACCTATTAAAAAAGCCTTAACAAAATCTGTTACGTTAGTTTTAAAGATTTTTTTATACAACTTAGAATGGCAAACAAGCTGACGGCCTACCTGATGGAAAGTGGTAACCGTCGCCTATAGACGTGAGCAGTACCATGGACATAACAGAGTATACTGTTTCGCCCATGATACCCCCATGCGTTGCCATTCCTGAGGACTCAGGTGTTATTCCTCTGTACCCAGTAAATTCACGCCATATCCCACTCTTCAAACCGAAACACAGCCATGCAAACACAACTGCTTTACTGTTGAAACACGAATGGGACAGAGGTACCCAAGCAAACGACTTTTGTACAAAGTCTCCCTCTGGTAAAATTTACTATTTTTATACAACATACATAATAATAAAATGCAGCCACCTATAGTATACAATGGAGTCATATCTCTGTTTATGCATGGGTTACATAGCGAGCCGCTATAGACACCGCTGACGCCGCATCGCATCCAACACTCGTGTAAATGACGTAAATGCCCTACTAATTGGACCATTGTGGTTAATTCTTGTCGAAATCATCATGGTGGGCTAACTAACCTGCTTTCATTGTCACCTATCATCTCTCACTGGTGCCCTGCCAGCGTATACCGATAACGCAGGCGGGGTTACTATTCCATTTTCACATATTAAAAAAAAACATTATATTCCTATAATATTATTTGATTCCAGTGACAAGTTTGTTTCCGATTACATATCGATCAGGGCTAAAAAATAAACTGGTGGTTTACTATAAACTTTTAAAAATCTAACATATTTTATACAGGTTAAAAGCAGAAAACTACCTTTCCACTGCGTATTAAAAAAAAAACAACTTTTCTCTGCCCTTTTTGTAATCTTTCAATAAACTACGTGTCACTTTTATAAAACTTTTATTTAAAATTATTCGTTAATAATAACAATATCAATATAAAACTAACTTTGTGTACGTCGTTGCGTGTTCTTGATTGTTTTGATCCTGTAGAATGACTTATGTTTAAATTTCAATGTATTATTTTGCAGATGGTGCTACCACCACAACGTTCTGTGGTACTCCTGATTACATCGCGCCTGAGGTGAGTTAATATTTATAAAAAAAAAGAGTATTGAATAAAAAATTTACGTATTAACTGAGTAGTTATAATGTTGGCGGTGACCGTTAAGTTTTTTTTTTTATTAAAAATAATAAAACAGTAACTGTGGCTGTGCTAATGGTAAACGCTGGTGGGGCACCAGTGAGGAACGACCATCATCACTCATTGGTGCCCCGTATAAGAATAAGAATAAGAATAATTTATTTGCTCGAAATGTGGTACAAAGGTCTTAAAATGGTAACTGAACTACACATTTCGCCTTATCTAAAGGCATGCAAATTTTGTCTTAGCACATGTTAAGTAAAAGTTTATCAATTATGTATGTCCAAATAATTATTCTAAATACATATTAATTGTTACATTGAATTAGTTAATTATGTCAACATTTAAAAATAGTCGATATTATAGTTATGAAGCATTAAAATTGTACATGTCATATTATTAATATTATTACGTAAAATGCATTCTTAGTCTAATCTGCCATTCAGACTTACAAATTCTTTTATCGTGTAAAAACACTTTTCAATAAGCCAATTTCGTAGTTTTCTTCGGAAAATTTCAAAGGGCATTTCACGAAATGACTGGGGTATCTTATTGTAAATATTTATGCACATCACAAAACAATTTTTATGATAGAGGCTACTCTTACATATAGGCATGTGTAGTTTGGTAGGGTCCCTTTTGATAAATTTATTAATTTCACAAATTTTATTAAATAACTGTGGGTGTTTTTTAACAAAAATTCCAATTTCTAAGATATATAAACTCGTAACTGTTAATATTTTTATATCTTTAAAATAGTTTCTACATGATTCCATAGGCGCTAATCCACAGATAGCTCTAACGCATTTCTTTTGTGAAATGAATACTTTGTTAATCAATGTTGCATTACCCCAAAGTAAGATTCCATATCGCAATATAGATCCAACGTAGCCATGATACGCGGTAAGAGCTGCATTTTTACTGGCTGTATTGCGTAGACGTCTGAGTGCATATACAAATTTATTAATTTTAGTACATAACACATTTATATGGTTCTTCCAATTACAATTTTCATCTAACGTAATACCTAGAAATTTTACTACATTATCTTTGGAAATTAATTTGTTTCGATATTTTACTGTTAGGTTCTTATTTGTGGAATTGTAATTAGAAGTGTATGGTATATCAAAATCGTAGGCAGGAATACTATTTTATTTTCAATCATTAAAAAAAAAAAAAAACAGAGGGCCTATCATGAAATGTTTATTATTATAAAATTACATAATACTTACCGTTTAAAAACATAAAAATATGAAAATATTATTCCTTTGGATTTTTTTGGTAGGATTTATGACGAACAAAATATTAAGCTCCATTTACTGGGCCGCCTTAGGTTTTTTTTTATACCACTGAGGTGGCAAACAAGCATATGCCCCACCTGATAGTAAGCGGACGGTAAACGAGCGGTAAACACGAAATAGAGTCCGAAACTTCGGAATTTCATTACATGGTAGGCCCCCCAGTTCTTCCTTCTCTCCGTTTTCACAATGTAGAAATTTTATGGTGGTGGTTGCAGATCCTACAGGAGCTAGAGTACGGCCCGTCGGTGGACTGGTGGGCGTTGGGCGTGCTGCTGTACGAGATGCTGGCGGGGCAGCCGCCCTTCGAGGCCGACAACGAGGACGACCTGTTCGAGAGCATCCTGCACGACGACGTGCTCTACCCCGTCTGGCTCTCCAAGGACGCCGTCTCCATACTCAAAGGTATCCACTGTCTGCTACCAGCTCATTAGTATTTTTATTATCACTACACCATGGTATTAAAGATGGTGTTGTTCGTGTCTGTATGTTACCACTGTCTAAGGTGGATGGGCTGTATGTTTATTTTTAATGTAGAAAAAATATATATAACATATATATGTCTTAAATAATAATGTATGAAGCATATACAGTGTATTGTTTTACACTTGGACTATCTCAGAGCGTTTAAATCTCTTTTAAAATGCGCGCCATTTCCTGAGGAGATAATTGTATGTAATTGTGTATTTTAATCACATAACTTGTGTTGCAGTATTTCCATTTCCATTTAGCAAATATTTGTTGGGTTTAGGTTTTATTAAATTAATTCTATTTAATGAAATTATCATAAAATGATTGAATTCGATCGCAAAATGCATTATTTTGTGGTCTGGCAAGAATTTTTTTTTATACAACTTAGAATGGCAAACAAACTGACGGCCCACCTGATGGAAAGTGGTAACCGCCGTCTATAGACATGAGCAGTAGCATGGACATAACAGAGTATACTGTTTCGTCCATGATACCGCCCATGCGTTGCCATTCCTGAGGACTCAGGTGTTATTCCTCTGTACCCTGTAAATTCACGCTATATCCCACCCTTCAAACCGAAACACAGCCATGCAAACACAACTGTTTCACGGTTGAAATACGAATGGGACAGAAGTATCTAAGCAATCGACTTTTGTACAGTCTCTCTTTGGTAATGTATCAATGTGGGTAGAGTATTTGACTGGCATCACGATGCTAGTCGTATTTGTCTGTGGGTTGTGCGAGGTTGTATTCGAATTTTGAAATTTAAATCGGATTCGCTAACAAATTTAAATGATTCTGTACTTAAAATATTAGTCGTCGAGTGGGTAGAGCGAGTGACGAATCATACTCACTGTAATAGTTTTTTTTTTAATTTTCGTTATCGGGGTTAAGAGACAAATGCTGGTCGCGTCCACTGGTACCGATTGTAACGCTTGTCTGAAGAACGTGTTTTGCCTTTTGACTTTTTAATTAATTTTGTTGGCACTGGTGTCTTAGTTTTTTGTTTTGATGGATGAAAATGTAATGGTAACCTCTCCTGCGCTAACGGGGTACGCTGGCGGAGTACCAGTGAAGGCTGATAGATGAGAATGAAAACAGGCCAGTTGGCCCATCACGATGAATTCATCAGGACTTAACCATGATAGTTTCCAGGGAGGTTAACCTGGTTGGATATGTTGCTAGCAATGGGATTCTCAGTGTCCGGTACTAACAATCCTCCCCCCCCCCCCCTCCTCCAATGGAGTCGCAGTTGGAGTACAAGTAGCAGTAGTATTAGTAGTAGCGGTAGTAGTAGTAGCGGGAGGTAGTTAGTGAAGGCGGCGCGCGTGCGTTTGCGTGCAGGGTTCATGACGAAGAGCCCGGCGCGGCGGCTGGGCGTGGCGGGCGGCGCGGCCGGCATCCGCCACCACGCGTTCTTCCGCGACGTCGACTGGGACGCGCTCGCGCAGCGCCGCCTGCGCCCGCCCTTCCGCCCCAAGCTCGTACGTACACGCGCGCATACACACGCACACGCACACATCCAGCAGTATGCGGTTATACTCTTACTGTTCATTCGGTTACATATTAACAATAATACTAGATACCTTTTGCAACTATTACTCTGTCCCTTTAAGATCATTTACAATTTTTAGCTACCACAGTGTGGCAACAAAGCACTTATTTGTCAATTGAGAAAAAAAATTCAATGTTTAATTAGCTGATGATTATAAAAGTGCTCTATTAGCGAATTAAAATGTTAATCGTAGAATATATTGTATATAAATGTACCATTAAAAATCTTTGCATCTATTTAGATAGATAGATAGATAGTTTATTTACATTACTTACTTACAGCACACAGATTACAACATAGATATACAAAAGTCTAACCTAATTCTAACTAATTATAATAAACCTATTTCATATTATTATGCTGCAAAATTTTACAAATACGTTTATACGTTTTAAATCCAAATTTCAATAGTAACAAGAATATTACTGTGTCATTAATGTTTTTATATTCATAGACCAGAGAACTATTTAATAATCAGTCAATAACATTGAAATTTCATCAATTGTTATTAAAAATTGTTTGATATATGTGCGATGTTGCCACACTTCCTTATGTGTAATTAAAAATATGTAAATTAACATGTTTGCAATTCATATCTCTTTATTTATTTATTTAATAAGGTACACCTACAACTTTTACATTTTACATGCTATGTAATCAATAACACAAAAATAATTTTAGCTAATGTAAAAATCTTTTATAGGCGAACACCACATGCACTATTACAATGTACTTTACTATAACTCACTGTGTACAGATGAGTAAGCGCGAGGCGGTGAACTTCGACGCGGAGTTCACGAAGGAGGAGCCGGTGCTGACGCCCGTGCCCAACGACGTCGTCCGCACCATCAACCAGGTGGGTACACCTCCCCCCCACACATGCTCATACACAACTACCAACGCGAGAGTAAATCCTAGTTGATTACAAAAAGAATATTGAAAAATAGCATGTAATTGGCAGTTTTTACCAGTAGTTGCCATGTATAGCAGGCGGGTTGGCAACCACACTTTGGCTTTTGGTGGTGTTTCAAGTAGGACACTGCTGCCCATCACTCCACCATAGGCATACACAAAAATACATAAATACACACGACTAATTGAGAATATTGTTATTTTGGAAGTTACCAAAAACCGTAATGTTTTTTTTTTTTTTACAAAATTATATCGAAAACTGCTCACACATATTTTCAATGGCAATAAATAAAATGTGATCTTAATTTTTTTTTTAATTTGTATGGAAGACACATATAACACACGAAACGTATAGATTGTCAACATACACACATGTATGCCCCTCCAACATTTTACTTTAATTTGCGTGATCATATACAGACGTGGTGCTCTGTTTGTGTTTGTTAGAAGACGTTTCCAGTGGTACTCCGACGTTTTTATTTGTCTAGCATATTCGAGCAGTCTACGTAGGCTTTCTGTTGTGAGTCAATAGTTGATTTAATACATAAACAGATTACTTTGTCATACAAATTAGAGTTCTAGTTATATTTTTCACTGAGTCTATTGTTCTTTGGTTTTTGACGTATATATTTACACACTTGGATACTATGTAGCGCTCTCCATTGGTATATTGATTGTATGGAAGACACATACAACACACGGAACGTATAGATTGTCAACATTCACACATGTATGCCCCTCCAACATTTTACTTTAATTTGCGTGATTATATACAGACGTGGTGCTCTGTTTGTGTTTGTGAGAAGACGTTTCCAGTGGTACTCCGACCAGAGAAATATATTCCTTGGTCGAAACCTTGTAAATATTTTTACTCGCACATTTTTGATTCTCGGGATTTTGGAGCGGCGTGCCATGTTATCGTAGACGATCCATACACTGTTTGATGTAAATCCTTATTATTGTTGATAAATGTCTGGTGCTGGTGTCCGCAGGAGGAGTTCCGCGGCTTCTCGTTCGTGAACGCGGACTTCAGCCTGGCGCCCGCCTACGACAAGACGCCCGTCGGCTGAGCGGCCGCCGCCACCGCCGCCGCCTCCACCGCTCTCACCTCACACTCTGTAACTATCGTTTTGTACGTCTGTCTCTCTCTCCGCGGCTAGTCCGGGCAGCGCTCGAGTCGTCCGAAGGCTCACGGACGGCGTGCAGTGCTGCCGGCGACGCCGCCACGTCTCTCCGTACCGTCTGATTTCTTGTGACGCCGCGCCCGCAGTGGCCGCCGGGCCGCCGCCGGGCCGCCGCCGGGGGACGGCGGCTGCCGCGCCTCGCTAGTCGATAATATTAAACTAAATATATATTAATACGATTGCAAGTCTCAGGTCACCGGTGCAGGGATGGATATTTTTTTCAGCCGTGACCATCGTAGACGATATGTAATGGCTAGCGCGATTATTGATTGTTGTAAATATTGAGGGAATGGGTCGCGTACATGTGTGTAAAGTAGGGCGCGTCGCGGCGGACGATCAGTAAACCCCATTCGCGTTAGTGGCGTGCCGTTGTGTGCGTGCGTGTGTGTGCGTGTGCGTGCGTGTGCGTGTGCGTGTGCGTGTATGCGGCCGCTCGGTCGCCGTCGGTTCGTTCGCTCGCTCGCTCGTTCGCTCGCTCGCTCGCTCGTTCGTCCGCTCGGCGGCCGCGGAGGTCGCGCCGAGCCGCCGTCCGTACGGTCGGTTCCTAGTTAGTCGGTGGCGGCGTAGCTCGCTTCTAGTCCCTCGTCGTGTATCCACAGTAGGCTCGCAGCCCGACTACCAATACTCATTATGTGGCCGCGCTTCGCACGTGCAGTATTAATTTTCCAGCGGCGCCTGTATTGTACGCGCCAGTGTTACCGTGCTGGCGGCCGAGTCGTATTGACGAATTTTGTATTATAAGAGATTATTGTAACGTTTAGTCTTATTTTGTGACACTTTTGTGTTGAGATTATTTTGAAGTATTTTTAGCGCGTATATTTTTTGTTTTGTTTTGTATTTTAATTAGTACTAAAAGTACAAATTGTGCCTGCCGCTTCGAGTTTAGGAAATTGATCAAATATTTGCAGCCTCTGCTGAAATTTTATCGAATAATTTAGATACTGAAATATTCGAAATTGTTTGTAACGGTTTTTATTAATTTATTTTATTTATCGAATTATAAGGAATATTTTAAGATGTAATGGCGGATAATGCGTATATTGTTGGCAACGAAAAGGGAACCAACATACGAGTAAGAAAAAATTTTATAGTTTTAGTTCAAAATAGAATCTGTTGATTCATTATTTAATGTCCAACATTAAGTAAATAAATATAGTATATTTATTATTGCGGTTGCAGCAAACAACTTTACAATTGTCAGTAGCGCTAGTCGATAGCGCCCCGTGCTCGTATACCTTTTCGTGGTCGATTGTCTTTCACGTGGCTAATTGCTGTCCGTCATAAGGACTTGGTTTCTACATCAGACAATGCAATTATAATCCAGTGACCGTTATTGCCATAGATTAATTATATCTAGATAGTGCATCCTATTATCAACGTTTGACAACCGCCTATTTTTCTAAAAAGCTGCGTTTTGTTTTTTTTTTTTTTTATTAATATTCAGAATGTATAAAATTATATTAATTTTGCTAATGCAGACTTTAAATGAACAGTAATTGTCATTTATTATTAATTTTAATTTAATTTTACTATATTATACTATCAGATTTTACGTGATGAAAATCTTTTGTCCGTGTTTTCTCACTTTTGACTCTCCGTCTAGATGTATTTGATCTTTTGTATTTTATTACGTGAGTGAATGCCTGTACAGAGTCCAAGATTCAGTACTTGTTAGCTTTGGATGTAATTTATTAAGCAATCCAATACAAATCCTTTCCTTTAATCATTCATATTTATTAGTTGTTAAATTAGTATTGAAAGGAGAAGTTGTTTAAATGGCATTGAAATGTTTTTATTTATTTTATTTGGTTAAATGCTTTAATTAAATAATAAGGGTGTTCTATGAATCATAGGCTGTCTTTGCGCCTATAAGTTTTTCTCACGTAAGAACGTTAAATTTGTAAATGTAAATTACATTTATTGATTTATCAGTTAATTACGTTAACTACTTAATTCACTTCGTAAGTAAAATTTGCACATAATATAAGAGAGGCACTAAATATGTATATATGGCTGCGAGACTTGTACTCTGTACAGATGTTTTCTCTTACTTTCTCTCGATGTATTTATCTGTACTTGAAGTACACTGTATAGTATTAATCTGTTTAATTTATAATGCAAAACCAAAGGTGTTAAGTTTATTCGTTTAGTTGTTAACTGAACGTGTTTAGTGGTATACATATATATATATATATACACACACAGTGTGGCGTGTTCGGCCGTTGACCGGCGGCGCCGAGTCCTGCGGCAAACAAACATCAATGCACAAATGTAATGCTTTATGTAGTTGTTAGTATATAATAATTATATATAAATAATATAAATTATAAATCTCTACGTGTTCCCGGTATATTGACATGTCCATGTGTAATCACCTTTTATATTTTATCTGTCGTTTATTTTTTATAATTGTTCGAATGTTACGTTTGTATAAAACAGTTTGATTTCGTTTGGAGTGTACGGACTAACACTGGGCCGGTCGATGTCCACAGCGCTCGCGTTGAACCCGCGGCTCGCAGACACGCCATATGGCCATGGCACTGTCATATATGTGGGCATAATATTATTCGACCATGTAATTCCTTTCAACATGACTGCTCATGTATGTATATATATGATAAGGTATGGTCCCACATATATGATAATGTAATAACTCATGTACCGTGTTTAAATACCACCGATCACCTTTCGAGGGAGATGTATGCCCTCGTACTCCGATAGGTGGCGCTAGTTGGCACTATTTCGGAAGCGTTTTTGTGTCACTCTGTGAATATTGATTTTCCTAAGACGCAACTGTATTGATATGTTTGACAGTCACAATGTTAGTATACATGGTTTATAGATCTAGAACTCTCACAGTGATACAGGACGTTTCCGAATCTGTGGGCGCGTTTGCGAGGCTCGTTGGACGTCTCTCCGGTTTCTAGTGTAAGCTGATGTATGCGCCGATTAATTTTTTGATGTGGATCATACTAATACTGGAGTTATAGTGTATAGCCATTGTTAGTGTACGTTGAACAGGCGTGTGACCGGTGGCGTCGCGTGCAGCGGCGTCGACCGTGGATTTATTTATTCAGTCGTTTCATAGTTGTGTGTTGTGCGCGTGTGTGTCTGCGTGTGCGTTTGTGTGCGTGCGTGCGTGCGTGCGTGCGTGTGTGTGTGTGTGTGTGTGTGTGTGCGCTCCCCATCTGATGTTGCGTTTCTTCATAAAAATTACTAATTGTTGTGACGTTAGCGATCGTGAGATATCTAGCGAGAGTCATTCGTTTTTATTTGTCTAGCATATTCGAGCAGTCTACGTAGGCTTTCTGTTGTGAGTCAATAGTTGATTTAATACATAAACAGATTACTTTGTCATACAAATTAGAGCTCTAGTTATATTCTTCACTGAGTCTATTGTTCTTTGGTTTTTGACGTATATATTTACACACTTGGATACTATGTAGCGCTCTCCATTGGTATATTGATATATCCTTGAAGTGATATGTTACCGACAATGTCTAGTCACAAATTATATTCTCAAGTTACGTCCCAGGCCTGCGAGGTTGGGACAGTTGGGACGGTTGGGAGTAACAGTTACCCTATCGCCGACTGTTATTATTTTGGGGCTGATTAAGTAAATAAAAAAAATATTTTTTATTATTAATAAACATAATTATAAGCATTTTTGAATAGTCGTTTATTTGTGTATCTACCGCCCAGTTTGGAATGCAAGTACAGCTGAGAAGAAACAGGGCAAAGCAACTTAGCTGTTACTGTTTTTCAAAAAGTCGAGTTTACAAGTTGAAAAAGAATTAAACGGGTACAAAGAGTATTGCAAAGTTTGTATTAAAAAAAGAAACTATTATAATTCGCAGTATTCTAGAACAGATCGGTCCCAATGAGGTTGTAAGTTTTTTTTTTTTTTACTTTGGGTAAATTATTGAATAAAGTATTTTAGTTCATATTGTATTATATTTCAACTGTCGCCATTGTTAAGAAACCCAGTGATTAGCACCTTTATTGGGGCGCCCTTCGAATAGTTTATTTTATCCAGCATCGCGTGTTGCTTTGTTTTATCACCCTTACAACGAATCGTTTAGTTAGACTTTGTTACGACAATTATTTCGTTGTGAATAACCAATGTATGTTTCTCTTCTCTTCTCTTCTATTTGGTAAACAGTCTCGAGAGAAATTAATTATTTAACAATAAGTTAAATCTTAAATGATATTTTTTTTTAATTTAATTATTAAAAGAAATTAAACCGGTCAGTTAAAAGACGTGCGGTCGTTTTGATCTTATGTATGTAGTTTGTGGAATGAGTTTTCCCCTGAGGTTTTCCATCTGAGCTACAATTTGGGGTTTTGTTAAACGACAAACAACGCACTGGTTACTCGCCACTTGATCCAAGTATTCGTGGACGGTAGCCACTTCCCATCAGGTGGTCCGTCAACTTGTTTGACCAACAATAAAAAAGGTTGTCTAATTGATTAAAATTATTTTGTTTAATTCCGCTACCATTCGTTTTTTTTATAACTACAACTGCTAATTTGAGTTTTGACAACTATTCTCATCGGGAAAGGGAGGGGTGGCTCATTCTATGCCGGGACCACATGGCTTTGATAATAATAATAATAATGTTTATTTACTTATCTCACAACTTTTTTGAGTACAATGAAACATTTAAAATAACACCATAGCTTTAACCCTTTGCACTCGAGCGGCGTCGATACGGCGCCCGGTAGATTCGAAGTGGCAACTCGAGCGGCGCTGCTGCGGCGCCCGAGTGTTTTAAAACTTTAAATCGAACTACGCTGCTACGACGCTATGGTTTTTTGTAACTGGATCTCCTTATTTACAATATGCGATAAGATTGTTTTCTCGGAAGGCCGAAATCGTCCCGAGTTGCTGGTTCGCGCAAGCGAAAAATGCCTCGAGTGCAAAGGGTTAATTTACCATGGCTTTAACTAATAATGGTTATTAATTCTTAAATGTTAACAGTTGTACGCATACTATTCTGCAAATCTTCTGTAAATATAAAAAAAAAGATTGTTTACTAAAATGACAAGTGAAGGAAAACATACACTAGATCCAATTTCGAACGCTCGGAATTCTGAACTTTGCTGGAGTGTTGCCACTTTCTGTTCGTGTTACGTTAGTCGTACTTTATATTCTATACTACATACATTTTTTCCAACGACTTTCTCAAGTCTAAGTTCCTCGACGGCTCATTTACACACAGATGAATCGATATTTTTCCGAATCGAACATTAACACGCATCGCTTTTATTTTACAAGTGGCTTATCAAGCCTTTTTTTTTATTAATGAAACTGTTAACCCCGCCTGCGCTATCGGTATAGCCTGGCGAGGCTCCAATGATGGATGATAGGTGAGGATGAAGCAGATTAGTTGGCCAATGAATTGGACAAGAATTACCACGATGGTTTCAGGAGGGAACAGCGTGGAGGTCGTCCTGATATGGTATATTGTTAGCAATAGGACGATTAAACTCGGATTACGATCTCCCTCACGTTTCACCCACAATCGAATCGTGAAATATTACGGGTTTAAATTTTTAAACATTCATGATCGTTATACCAGTCGTTAGTTGTCCAATGTTGGGCATAAGTCTCCTCCAAGTTTTTGACCATTTTTGGACCATCAGTGCCGGATGCTTAAGTGTAAACGGGCCGTAATTTGGGACGATTATTTTCCACACGTCTGTGTTCTCATCGCCGATTTTACGTTTTTTGAAGAGTTTTTGAGAGATTTTAATTTTTCTACATTATACAAGAATATAATTTATTTTAATTAAATAAAATTATACTTTAAATATAAATAGTTAAATGTAGTACAATTGAGTAGTTGAGCGTACCGCAGTCGCTATATGTACAGAGCACAAAATGAAGCTATATAGAGTGGAGCACACTACACTACACTATACTACACTACCTACTACACTACACTACACTACACTACACACGGTTGTAGACATACTGTGGAGGTAATGTAATATTATAACTCGAAATATATCATATGTTATATAGTGAATGGTGACAGCCGATGGTTTAGTTTGAATTCGTAGCTTGTACGCCATCATTTATTGTTGTATACCATGGGATAATATGTCCTCAGTTTATTATAAATAATATATAATAAATATGCCTGTAACAGCTTCGAGAGGGAATAGATTCTTTAAAACTAAATTCTTGGTTTACATAGATATTTATTTTATTATATGGCCTGTTGTAATTCGTGTGATATGAATCCTAATTCTGTGTTATCCAAGATTGTTTTGTTTTTTTTTTTGAAGAAATTTGTGAATAAAATCCCATTGAAAACATTGAAATTTGAAGCGTGGAATTTAAAATTGCATGGTTATTTTTTAACTGTGGTGCTGTCAAAACTAGTAATCTATTAATGTAAGACAGAAACAATGAAAATACTGGAAAATTGTAATAAAAAAAAAAAAAAAGTAATGTAATTATTTATGTAACAGTTAAAATTGTAAATTGGTTAAAAGTGCTGTTTTTAGCCTATTTTTTTTTGCAATACTTTTAACCTTTTTAGGATTTTAACTGTGCTATGTTCACTTAATGTTTTGTTTTAAACTGAGGATGTATATTTCCATTCGTTTCGCATCATAGTTAGTGAGTACGCCTGTAAATGATCACGCCGCATCACCACCGTCGCTCCGGTGGTGATTCGAATAATAGTGAGTTTATTTAGTTATGTTCCTGTCACCGTATGTGCCAAATGACCTCGAATTACAGATTATATCAGCGGTGGCCGGCCGGTTTGTACTGTATATTGCGTGTTACCGCAATTTGCATACTCTTGCATTTAAAATTGTACAGTGTACACTTCGTATTAAATACATGTTAAAGGACTGAGAAGAAAAACTTAATACTAATTGGAAATAAAGCGTCAATAATATAAATAGACAAAGAATTTACTAAAAAAAATCGATATTTTTTGTAAGAATACGCAGCTTAGATAGAAAGATAGATACTCTATTGTTTCCTTTAAAAGATTACAGTAGTAAACCTATTATAGATTCAAACCGTTACAAGAAGTTAGTTTTTTTATGCGACTTAGAATGGCAAACAAACTGACGGCCCACCTGATGGAAAGTGGTAACCGTCGCCTATACACATGAGCAGTACATAACTGCTTATGTCTATAGGCGACGGTTACCACTTTCCATCAGGTGGACCGTCAGATTGTTTGCCATTCTAAGTTGTATAAAAAAAAAAAATTTATTTGTTATGTTAGAAAAAATATGTTTGGGAATGTCCTATTATGAAACTGTCCATGTACAATCAAGTGTAGTCACTACAGTGTGTGATTGCGATGACGGGTAAAGTGTACACATAATGTCAAACAGCCGGCCACAGCGACTAGATACATACATTATTTATAAATAGCAATGCATATAGCTTGGTGCTACAGCGAGCCGCGCCCTATTGTAATACTAGTGTTACGTTTGCATAGACGTCTAGTTGTTTTTATATAAGTTTAGAGGATTCTTTATATGCGCAATATTGTTGTTCATTACATTGGAATATTGGAGTGTTACTTTGTATGTTTTTATATATATTTTTTCTTTCGAATATATATATATTAACAATTGATATGAATATACGAATGTTTTGTATTATTAACATGTTAATTGGTGACAGTAGCAAATGCAACTAAATTGGGCTGATTCTGGACTGTGCTAAGTCTATTACTAAAGTTACAGTTAGTTCAAGGAGTACAGTTTAGAATCGTTACCAAGTATGATGTTTAAGGTTAGAATCTAAATGTTTATCATTGAAATAAAATAAAATTTTACATATAGGCTTTGATTGTTCAGAATCTGTTTCTATTCATTGCATGTAGTTTTACTTCCTTTAATCTTTTGACGTTTTTAATCTGTCATAAACCTGTTTTAGCTATTGAACTGTTTTGTCTCTTTCTTTTGTACTAAATTTCCAATTTGAATGAAAGTGATAGAACATTGTAATAGCTAAGATTTGTAAGTGTTTTTTGTTTTTATGAATAATGGGGTTCGGGTATATTTATTGAATGTTTAATATGTTTTGTTTAAAAATATGTAATAAAACAAACAATATGTCGAGTAGTGAGTCACTGCACTTCGGGGGCGTGGCCTAACTGGTTTGCTCCCTACGTGACACAATTTAGTTTTTTTTTTTTCTAAATTATAAATAAGTTTGTCTCACTTCAACTTGTTTTTTGTCGTTTATCGACTCGTGTCCACTTTGGAAATGTTCAGTTTTACTAGCAGTAACACTGCCTTAAAAGTTGCTTCAATTTGCCCTGTACAAGCATTGTGGGAGTACAGTGCCCGGTTGCGTTTGCTATTGAGGAGTGGGGCGCGGCCACGCCACGCTCGCTGCAAGACGCTCCGTTGTCCATTATATGACGAACAGGTAACTGTTCGATGCCATACGTTAGCCGATAGCAACTTGACATATCACGCTATATTTCGTTGAATTGTAAACATATATTTTATAATAGATCTGTTTCGCGAACAGTGGCGCACCACTAGTGGGGGCTGCACTGGTTACATTGTTAGGGGCTTGCAAAACTCTCAAATACAATCTAATATACATACATATTTATAGATTTATGAATTAATGCACTTTTGTTAACACAGGTAATATAGTGAGTTTTTTTTTTTGTACTCTAAATTGTGATCTATGTGAGCCCTATAGCCTCGGTTAGTGGTGCATCACAATTACTGTTGTTACATCCAAGAAGTTTATAGCCAAATATATATATAGCGAAGTGAACAGAAAAAAAAATAATTAAAAGAAAGAAGGAAAATTATTTTCATTTAACCAAACTTGGCTTCGATTGATTTTAACTTGTAACGAGAGAAGCTGCTACAAAGTGGTGCTATTACTCCATCTCGCTCACACTCAGCGCTAATGTCGAGACAGATATAGGCTTTTTAAGGTGTAATGGAAGGCGTCAACTCTGTTCACTTTGCAATATTAACTCGGTTGTAAGCTTGTTGCATTGTACCGCTGATTAGAGATGTCCTGTGTCAGACATAGCACATTGTATAGACGTATTTGCAATTTTCACAGATTTTTTTAAAATATCATATTTATAGTTATACTCCAATCTGCAGACTTTATATTAATATACTACGAATTAATGCAATTTTAATTGATTCGAATCTGTAATAATAGACAAAAAAAAAAAAAAACTATGAGAGAAAAGAAAAACATAACAAAAGAATGAGTAAAATTTTTCATCGTGCCTCCGACCAAATTGTTTATAATTACTTCTCTCTATCCAAAGGTTGCGTGGAAGAGATCGCTCTTAGCGATAAGGTCGCCCATTGTTTTCTCACTGTGATTATTTCTTGTAATTGTTTATATTTATAATAAGTTTACTATTGTAATCTTTTGGAGGAAACAATAAAGAGTATCTATCTATCTATCTATCTAAAATAATTAAAAATACAAATTTACAGATCCTATAAGAATCTTTAGTTGATAATTTATAAATTGTATAGATATATGTATACTTGTATAGCCAGTCAGTCGAGTGAATATTAATTTAATATTTATTTACTAACAAACGTTGGATGGTTCCTTTATATAATTAATTATTTGTACTTGATTACAAAATTAAGTTTTTAACATATTTTATGAAATTTTGGATTGTTAACGTTGTACTTAAGTGTGTTTCTAGACATGGATTTCGTTTTATTTATATGACGTCATTAAGGTTTCGTTTTGACCACCGTGCTGTTTATGTTAATCGTTAAATGAAGATCTATTAGAATGTTTTAATTATATCAATAGTTAGTTATAATTGTTGAAGTTCAATTCCCTATTTTGTCAAATCTTTACATTTGGCAAGCGAGGTATTGTTTACTGCTAATGTTTTTGGATATAACCCCAGCTGTGCGAGATTAAGGCACTATCCATATTAGAACAGATGGACTTAGCTTAGTGTATGTAAAATAATTTTAATATATAATATTGATTTTATATTACATTTCCTACGTATGTCCCGTTTTCATCAGTTGTAATATGGATAGGCCTTAAATGATAAATCTATTAATATACGTAAGGCATAATATTTAATGTGAAATTTATTACAACAATCCTATAATTTGCATTTGTCAAATACTATTTTATTTGCCCACGAATCGTGCAATGGTTTGTGAAAATTGCAAATTTATTGAAATGTTATTTTGTACTCATTTTTAAAATGGCTTTTTTATATAAATATATTTTACGCTTCCCAGAGGTATAAAGCCAAAGAGTGGTATATTGTACAAAGTGGCTTTGAGCCTATATTTTGTTGTTTATAAGTTGTTGTCTTGCCAGTGGTAATCAGATATGAATATAAATAGTATATATATATATATATACAAAAAAAAAAAATGTTTTGTGTGGTTGAACATTGTTCCGTGCGGGGTGCACATTCCTCTATTAATTACAACTGCATCGTACTCCCATTTTGAAGTGCCGTTCTCTATCTCCCTCTAAAACTAAAATTTCACTCTTAATATTGTGGTGACCTAATTATTTTTAAATCATTATGAAGTAAGTTTTGATAGATTTTAGTGGAAACTGCTTTTGGTTCACAGTATCGAATGTTAATACCAACCATAATAAATTCTTGCTCAGATGTGACATTACAATTTTCATGCTAAATGCAGCGAAGCCGTTTAGATATATCTTCCCTTTAAACTTTGCATATGTAAGCATTTTTATGAGCCGAAAAAAATGGTACACCCTCTGCGTTATTCAGTGGGCATATACTGGCGGGGTACCAGTGACGGATGAAAGGTGGAATGAAATCAGGTCATGTGGCTCAACTTGACCGATTCAGCAGGAATTAATCAGGTTGGTTTCCTTGGGTATTTTTTTAATGGGTGATAATGGAATGGTAATCCCGCCTGCGCTATCGGGATACGCTGGCGGGGCATCAGTGAAGGATGATAGGTGAGGATGAAGCAGGCCAGTTAGCCCATCGTGACGAATTCAATAAGAATTGTTCAAGATGGTTTCCAGGGGGAACCGCGAGGAGGTCGACCTGGTTGGGTATATTGCTAGCAATAGGATTCTCAGTCTCCATTACTAACAATCCCTTTTCCCCCTACTTAAACTATAAAAAATTCAAAATTTTAATTTTAGAGTTACATTTAGAGAATGGAACTTCAGAATCGGTCATTATTTATTCTTTTGCGCCGAAACAGGTTTTTTATGTGATTAAAAACAGTTATTGAGGGTGCCAACCTAGTCATTTTAGAGTATACGTTGGCCTCGTAGGTAGTGCACCTCGCACTACATACGTATGTATAAATCGTTTGTGTTAATTAATTGTAGCTAACACAGAGATTATGAGATCTGTTGCTCGCGCCGCGGCCGCGCCGCTGGCCGCCAGCGGTTGTGCCGTCGGCCGCGACCCACCAGCGCTGCGGCCGCGAGCTCCGGCATACCCGTATTTGTTGTTTCACTGATCACTATTAGGACACATTTAGCTGAGTAAATTAATGCATATAATATAGTTTTATGATGAGATGAAATATGTATATGTAATCCTACATGTCTATTAAATCAATGAAAATAGATTATAAACGAGACGTTTTATTTCATACATCATCATCATCATCATCTGTCCACTGCTGGACATAAGCCTCCCCCACAGACTGCAATAAGGAACGGTCCTGACCTACCTGTACTTATATAATTTCCTACTATATCTAATTATTTATTTAGCTAGTTTTATCAAAGACTTGTACGAAGGGTGGGATATGGCGTGAATTTACTGGGTACAGAGGAATAACACCTGAGTCCTCGGGAATGGCAATGCATGGGGGGTATCGTGGGCGAAACAGTATACTCTGTTATGTCCATGGTACTGCTCATGCCTATAGGCGACGGTTACCACTTTCCATCAGGTGGGCCGTCAGCTTGTTTGTCATTTTAAGTTGTATAAAAAAAAAAGACTAACCGGATCTAAAAGTCGTTAAATAGAAGTGAAATTACGAAAATCGGTTTAAAATTTAGAAATATATAGTGTACATAACAACAAATAATCCATATCATGGGCGACACAGTATACTCTGTTATGTCCGTGGTATTCATGTCTATAGACGATGGTTATCACTTTCCATCAAATGGTCCGTCAGTTTGTTTGCAATTATAAATTTCATGAGAAAAGCGTAAATATATATAGAAACAGGCAAAATTCGAATTACTTTTGCTATCCAATGTGGTTAACCGCCATGTTTTATCAAGATCCAGTGGTTATTTCTTTAGTGTTATAAAATTTACTTAAAAGAAAAAATCCTAAATACCTAGTTACCTATCTAAATATTTTCTGAAATGATCCAAATGTATGATTTGATAAGGTGACTTGTAATTTAAGTCTGCTGTCTATAAGTAGTTAAAATAATTAGACAAAGTTCCCATGACACTGCAAGCTAATCTGTTCTAAGAAATACGTTAGTGTTGCCACGTTACTCGGAAGTAGTTAGGCTAGCAGTACAGAGTAAGTTGGATAGCACGCGAGGTGCAACAGTGTAATATTAACGATTCAAGTACTAATGAAGCGGTATCCAGTGCTCTCACCGCGGGCCGAGGGTCGGGGGTCGCCTAAATTACGTCCGCTAAGGACTGCCTGGCCTTTAGTGGCAACCTCATTCTCATGCGACCCGTTTTGGCCTAGACAATTTGCTAAGCAATTTGCTCGAGTGCCTTTGTTCTAATGTATGTACTTACTGATTTTAATTTCACTAATACCTATTTTCTCACGTGAGGTTTTTGTCATCACTTTTATTTATTAATTTCACCTTATAGGGGGGAAAGGGATTGTTAGTAATGGAGACTGAAAATCCCATTGCTAGCAATATACCCAACCAGGTCGACCTCCTCGCGGTTCCCCCTGGAAACTATCATGGTTAATTCCCGATGAATTCATCATGATGGGCTAACTGGCCTGTTTTCATTCTCATCTATCACCCTTCACTGGTGCTCCGCCGGCGTATCCCTTTAGCGCAGGCGGGGTTACCATACCATTTTCACAAATAAAAAAAAAAAATTCACCTTATAAACCAAATTATCAAACAAGCGTCAAAAAACAAAGGTTTGTATGGATTCGATGTCACATTTTTTTTATACAACTTAGAATGGCAAACAAGCTGACGGCCCACCTGATGGAAAGTGGTAACCGTCGCCTATAGACATGAGCAGTACGCAGTCGATTGCTTGGGTACCTTTTCCCTATTCGCGTTTTAACCGTGAAGCAGTTGTGTTTGCGTGGCTGTGTTTCGGTTTGAAGGGTGGAATACGGTAGTGAATTTACTGGGTACAGAGGAATAACACCTGAGTCCTCAGGAATGGCTACGTATGGGGGGTATCATGGGCGAAACAGTATACTCTGTTATATCTATGGTACTGCTCACGTGTATAGGCGACGGTTACCGCTTTCCATCAGGTGGGCCGTCAGCTTGTTTGCTATTCTAAGTTGTATAAAAAGAAACTTATTCTTACTTTTATTAAATCGATCAATTCTATCCGATATCTTCGTGGTGTCAATATAAGTACTGCGTGTGTTACACGAGACCGGTTTAATTGTGATTTTAATGTCAAATATTTGACAATAATATATTTTACATTACTAGATTATATATTTGACACAGTTTATGTAGAAAGTATGCAAGCATATACAACCTGTATCTGAATTTGGTAGGGTTATACGGCCGTACTTATAACATTTTCTATACACTAGCATGCTATAAATTGATAATTTTATCACTCCTTCTATATAATTCCTTGTTCTTAGGGTATGGGCGCCATGTCGCGTTGGATACTCGGTAGTCGTACAAACGGGAACCCGGGATCCAACATAAGCGCCTCGAGGTACGTCGTGTGGTTTTTAGTGGGTACGAATCCCACACACCCCAGCTGCCCTCCCTTCGGCAGATGGGACGGTCTTTCCGAAGATTTTCCACACGGAAAAAAAAGGGTATGGGCGCCATAGTGCATTCTGTTATGTCATGTTATGTACTGTTCTTGTCTATGGTTATTACTTCACATCAGGTTAAGTTGTTAGTTTGTTTGCCATTCTATTCGTAAATTGTATAAAGAACGTTTGTAAGGTGCTTAAGCGGTTTTGCATAGATCAGCACAGATCTAAACATGTTTTACGAACATCTGTGTACGTATAGCTGTCCACTTGTTGCAAATGTGTTCATTAAACTAATTCATAAAAGTAGGGCTTACATTTGTTGAGCGCGCGCTGTTTATTAAGAGGGTGTACTGACAATAGCCCCTCGGGTAGGTTTTTTATAGTGTCAGCTGCACAAGTGGAGTACTATTGTTTGTGGTTTGTGACAAATATGGGTATTCGATGCAAAAATTATATGAATTTTATCTCAAACGGATAAAGTTTATTTTGTTATAGCAAATTTAACATGTGCACATAATTTGACCTCAGGGTAATGGGGGCCCCATTGCAAAATTTATCTTTTTTTATTTATTACGGAGATTATTGTGTTTAACTGAGCATCGCGGCGTGAAATCGGATCGATTAACATTTATGTATCGAATAGATTATCGAGTGGCGATTATTATCAAACGTTTTTCACCGCTACCGTTATTATTGGGCTCCGATCGTAACGAATTTGACTTGAATGATGGCTTCTGTTTATGAGTTTTAAACGGTGGGAGTAGCTATTTTTATTATGTTTTTTTTCTTTTTGTTAACTGTAGCGTAATACATTACCTATATTAAATTGGATATGCGGAACGCACAGATGAGAGGTCGTTTAGATGTGGCATCGAGATACGAGTGTAATAAACAATTCTATTAATTCTCACCAGAGGGAGACTTTGTACAAAAGTCGATTGCTTGGCCACCTCTGTCCCATTCGTGTTTCTACCGTGAAGCAGTTGTGTTTGCATGGCTGTATTTCGGTTTGAAGGGTGGGATATGGCGTGAATTTACTGGGTACAGAGGAATAACACCTGAATTCTCAGGAATGGCAACGCATGGGGGGTATCATGAGCAAAACAGTATACTCTGTTATGTCCATGGTACGGCTCATGTCTATAGGTGACGGTTACCACTTTCCATCAGGTAGACCGTCAGCTTGTTTGCCATTCTAAGTTGTATAAAATATTAGTTGTATTTATTAAATCATCAACCAGTTGTGAACTGAATTTAATGATATTATTGTGAGGATTTAATATTATTTTAGTGTGCAGTTTCGAGGCCACCATTGTTATATATGAAGTCTTATGTGGGGAGAACCGTGCTCAATAATGCAACGGTAATGGTTTGTTACGATGTCGACATTTGAACTTTAAATACAACTATAACAAATAAAACTTTGGATATGTTTAACTACTTTCGGACTCGATAAAAGGCTTTATCATCAGCGCAGTTCACGGGACAAATTGCTGGACAACCGCGAAGTTAATACGTATGTAAACCAGCTTATTAATAAAAAAATAATATAAATAATTAATTCCCGACTGTACTTTACATAACTGTATATATTTATTTATACTTTTGCATACATGTTTCAAATAAATTATTGATTGATCAATTGATGGGTATAATTAAAAAAAAAATAAGTGCATAATGTTTGGGTCACTGGCGACATACATGGCGGAAACATATTTTTGTATTATTTTTTCTTTTTATTGTTTTAGTTTTTATAATTGTGTATATCATTTGAATGTATGAATTTAGTTGTTAATTTACGTGCGTCATAAATTACTCAAAGTGTTTATCTATCTATCTTAAAGAAATTCGTTTAGCACTGGACTTAGTGAGTACAAATCGTGTTAGACGAGTTAGTGTTAGATAGATAGTTCGCGTGTGATACGAGAGCGTGGCGACACGAGATCAGCGTGTCCACTATTACTAGCTATTGTCACTCGTGCTTCATTATTTCACACTTGACGATCAAAAAGTCAAACGTAACGAGGGACGTGACGCGACACTCGACTCGTGCTTGTTACAATCACCTTCGTATATTTACAATCGGCTGAAAATAAAACATTCATAAGCTCCGAGTTCAAGTAACGGGTTTTGGTTTGATTTTTAATCGATTTAAACCGTATAAATCAATGTCTGTGTTAGTGTTGGGAGTTCTTGAAGGAATTTCATTATTTTCGAAGCCAATTAGATATAAAAGGAGCCGATTAGGTATAAAATTTTACAAACATGGCTGTGTTTCGGTTTGAAAAGTGGGATATGGCGTGAATTTACAGAGTACAGAGGAATAACATCTGAGTCCTCAGGAGCGGCAACGCATGGGGGGTATCATGGGCGAAACAGTGTACTCTGTTATGTCCATGGTACTGCTCATGTCTATAAGCAACGGTTACCGCTTTCCATCAGGTGGGCCGTGAGCTTGTTTGCCATTCTAAGTTGTATAAAAAAAAAATAAAAAAACATTACTGTATATATATTTGTAAAATTTTATAACTAACCTAAGTGTTGTGGATACTTAACAACTAATACATTTTTTATGCAACTTAGAATGGCAAACAAGCTGACGGCCCACCTGATGGAAAGCGGTAACCGTCGCCTATAGACATGAGCAGTACCATGGACATAAGAG